ATTTACTTACGAATATTACTCTTAATGGAGCATGAGCCTCCGACCAGCATTCTCCAACTCACTCTGTCCTGAGCCTTCTTTTCCAGTTTCATCCAATTCTTGTTCATTTTTCTCATGTCTATTTCCATTTCGCGAAGTAATGTGTTCTTTGGTCTTCCACTTTTCCTTTGGCCTTCAGGATTCCATGTGAGGGCTTGTCTTGTGACGCAGTTGAGTGCTTTCCTCAATGTGTGTCCTATCCACTTCCAACGCTCCTTCCTGATTTCTTCCTCCGCTGGGATCTGGTTTGTTCTCTCCAACAGTGGGTTGTTGCTAATAGTGTCCGGCCAACGGATCCGAAGTATTTTTTGTAGACAACTGTTAATAAACACCCGTATCTTCTGGATGATTGCTTTCGTAGTTCTCCAGGTTTCCGCTCCATACAGTAGAACTGTCTTGACATTTGTATTGAAAATCCTGACCCTGGTGTTGGTTGACAGTTGTTTTGAGTTCCAGATGCTCTTCAATTGTAAATATGCTGCTCATGCATTTCCGACACGCCCCTTCACATCCGCATCAGATCCACCATGTTCATCAATGATACGGCCCAAATATGCAAAGATTTTTACATCTTCCAAATCTTCTCCGTCAATTGTGATTGGATTGGTGCATGCTGTGTTGTATCGGAAAATCTTGCTTTTCCCTTTGTGTATATTGAGACCTACTGCTGCTGAGGCTGCTGCTACACTGGTCGTTTTCTCCTGCATTCGTTGTTGCGATTGCGATAGGAGGGCCAGATCATCTGCGAAATCTAGATCGTCCAGCTGCATCCTAGATGTCCACTGTATCCCGTGTTTCTCTTCAGATGTTGACGTCTTCATGATCCAGTCGATCACCAGGAGGAAGAGGAAGGGTGAGAGTAAGCAACCTTGCCTGACACCGGTCTTTACTTCGAATGAGTCTGTGACCTGTCCTCCATGCACGACTTCGCAGTTTAATCCATCATAGGAATTCTGTATGATATTGACGATATTCTGAGGCACGCCGTAGTATCGAAGAGGTTTCCATAGTGTTGTTCTGTCCACGCTATCAAATGATTTTTCGTAGTCAATGAAGTTGATGTAGAGTGATGAATTCCATTCAATTGATTGTTCCACAATGATCCGTAGAGTTGCGATTCGGTCTGTACACGATCGATCCTTACGGAATCCTGTATGTTGGTCTCGAAGTTGGGCGTCCACGCAGTCCTCCATTCTGTTTAAAAATACCCTGTTGAAGACTTTTCCCGGTATTGAGAGAAGAGTGATACCTCTGTAGTTATCACAGTTGCTGAGATCGCCTTTCTTTGGTATTTTGACCAGAAGTCCTTTTTCCAGTCTTTTGGTACTTGTTCTTCATCCCAAATCTTATTGAAGAGAATGTGGAGTATCCTTGCAGTTGCCGCTACGTCTGCTTTTAGTGCCTCTGCTGGGATGTTGACCGGTCCTGCTGCTTTTCCACTCTTGATTTGTCTGATGGCCATGCTGATTTCTTCAATTGTTGGTGGGCCAACATTGATTGGGAGGTCCGTGGGTGCTGCTTCGATGTTGGGTGGGTTCAGTGAAGCTGGTCGATTCAAGAGTTATTTCAAGTGTTCTACCCACCTGTTTCGTTGTTCTTCAATGTTGGTGATTACCTCGCCTTCCTTGCTTTTCACTGGTCGTTCTGGTTTGCGGCGATTTCCAGAGGGTTTCTTTGTTGTGTCATACCGTTGTCTCATGTTTCCTTCTCTTGCAGCCTTTTCCGCCGTCGTTGCTAAATCTTCCACATATTTACGTTTGTCGGTTCTGATGCTCCTCTTCACTTGTTTGTTTACTTCTGTGTATTCAGCTTGTGCCTTGGCTTATTCTGCTCTTGTTCGACTGGTGTTGATTGCTGCCTTCTTGTTCCTCCTTCCTTGAATCTTACCCAGTGTATCAACAGTGATCCATTCCTTGTGATGGCGATAGGTATAATTCTTCACGCCGTGAAAGTTCACAGTGGGTCAAACGGAACCGGGGAACCCTACACTCCTTAATCGTTAACAGAAGAGATAAATAAGTTCATGATTTCATTTCCACAGTAGAATGTCCCAGTTTATGTGTAAAACATATAACACATTTAGAAGTTGTTTCCTTGTTTACCTATTGTTATTAACTGTGTTAGTTAGATTTCTATATCGACAGCTATTTGAAAAACATATCCCTATTAGAATAGTCGAGGTGAGTTCCAAATAATTACTTTTAAAGTGCACAGTGAACGTTCATTTTTTCTCCAATTATACATATTATAGACAAATTGATGGAATAGTAATTCTGTTCCTCATTATATCTGATCTGTTCTCTCGTTAAACCAGAAAACAGATTATTGAAAAGATTGACTAATATAGATGTTATGTTGATGATACACTGATTATCATCGGAGTGAGCAATGAAAAAGAACCCACAGGACAATTCACAGCGTAAATTCAGCAACCATTTTTGTATGTCAGAAGGAGGTGGTCGACGAGTTATAATTCCTCAAATTTTTGTTGAAAAACTGGATCTATCAGAACGAGCATGCATAGAAGAGGTTCATCTGAAAGTCAGTGCACACTCTTATTCAGCTTCTTGTTCATTCGTTACGAGAGAAACGTAGTTATGTGCTCCACAGTTAGAGCCATAACTATATGTCGATACGATACAACAAACAAAGAACCACGTTTTATGCGTAATCTATTGAGTAAAATGTACCAGGATCAAGGCTTTCTGAATCAATACATGCACACAGTGGACAGAAAGATAGTAACATAGGCTTTTGGTAAGAAAGTTCTCTTCCTAAAGATACAATTCAACCGAAATACAGTCAGGGATCCTTTCGAATTCACTCAGTATTTTGTTTATTACCTTTGAACATACATAGTGGTCTGCATATAATAGTTGTAACTGTTCCCAGCATTAACATATAAATGGTACAGGAAGGTGAATAACATCACAGACGGTCGGAAGCTGACTTCACTTTCTTTCGGTTCATCTTGACAATGAATATTTTAGAAAGCAAATATTTATAGACTTGTAATATGTTAAGGTGTTGGTAATGTGAATGATAGATTATATTACTTTTGTAAATATAATTGTATTTTATGCTTCTCATATGTTGATTAATTTCATAAATTTAATTCTCATTATTCTTCACGTAAATTGGCGTTCCTCTTCATCTTTCTCTATACGTACAGCAATAAGTTATTAAACGTCGCAAAGCAATGTTGCCTATATTTATTCATTCAGACAATTATTGAAATAAGTTCATCTGAAGATACTCTAACACGTTATACCGAAGCAACTCAGAGTACGTAATCCGATCAGTCTTAAGCTTTTTGTGCTAATCCTTACTGTACTATTACTTATGTCACTATTCTGGATTTCGTAGGAGTTTTACTACATGGTTCTACACGTGAATGATACAGCCTTTAAATTTGAACACACTTCCTGTGAACTCTGTCTTTTTAAAGGTTTACTCGCGTTGTCATATATTCTACTTGTAATTTAAAATGATCGCCGAAGCATTTCTTACATAGGAGAACATATATGACAAAAGCATGTACAAGAATTCGACGAAGCCGCTGGTATTGCGATTTTCGACAAATTTATGCTAACTTAGATGATGATCTGACATCTGAAATAATCAAAAATGGGTTAGTATTACGAAGTTGGTTTGTCCAATCTGTTAATCTTTACAAATCTTCGCATTACACTAGAATATTCTGATTAAATTTATAACAAGACCTCAATAGAAGGCTCTCATAATCATAGAGGTTGTTTTGTTTATTTTACGTTCTCTGTCCTTATTCTCGTCATTTCGTTTTATTCTAACTAATAATATTCAGTGAATAATGTATTCTTAGTAATTTCTATACCCATGTTGTAGTGCAGTTTATCATGTAATATTCTAAAATATTTACATATACTTGTAACATTATTTGTGTTCACCATTATAATTAATTTCTCTCAGTCCCGATAACAGTTGTTCTCAGTTTTGTATGGTCGTTTAATCTTTGCTTAAACGCAGTGGTTTCCATATTTTAATGGTTGAATTGATGAGTTGATTTAAGCTAGACCATATTTGTTTGCTCTTAGTTCCGTGTTTGCTTGTTGATAAACTGTTATCAAGATAAGACACAGCTCTCAGCTGTCATTTGCACTATTGTATGTCATAATCATTCTTTGTTATTAACACAGGGAGCCTTTTTCAGACTTACAGACGTTATGAGCCCCATAGATATCTCATGAGTTGAGTTTTGTAACTAATGCATGTCTGTTCATCAATAATGGACCTCTTTCTAGACAAATCTCTGTTTTATGAGGTTTGTTTTCGCGCGTAACTCAATTGTGCAAGTAGACCCTTCGACAGATTTCACAGAGGTATTACTATCAAATGCAATAGTTTCTGGTGTTTTATTCTTAACATGACAAAATGAAAGCATTTGGGTGGAACCATGACTTATGGACGAACCAGTCAGATTTAGTATAACATGTCTCATATTTTGGCGCGAAATTAATTGGCCCATTTATCTAATTGGCGTCTTGGCATTTTACCTGATGTCAGTTCGTAATGCGAACCGTAAATCTAATTCCTAACCCTAACCATCAACTGTAAATCATAATTCCAATTCCTCTGACTGCTTTATAACCCTAATTTAGCCCTAGTAAGTAGGTGGACATTCCCAAGATCACTTTAGCGTTGCTCAAAGGTTGCCCATAAATCATAGTCTCACAAGCATTTTGATCAATATTGTTTGTTAGCAGACAGCATATTTCGCAATTAGATTTCCTGATATATTTGGGCAAATCTATACAATTAGGCAGAAACAAGTCAGTTTTCGTTTAAGTATTATATTTCTCATCAATAATCTACGAAAAGCTACAATATTTATGATTAATCTACATTCTTTCGAAACAGTGAAGAAAATACACATATACTAATTCCTATTCAATCATACTGTTGATTACTAACGTTTGATAGTCTTACCACAATTTACATTTCTTCAAAGGATTCATTGGTGAACCAATTGGACAGTCATATGCTTTAGCAAATTCTTCACTATTTGACAAAGCACCTATCAGCCTGAAAGATTATAAAAAGAGAAATCAACACGATATATTTGTAAATAATGAAACTATTCGACATAAATTCTAATTTTGTATAAAGATTACACACCTAAATATCCTATGTCCAGTCCTTAACACCAAGTAAATATACACTAATGAGTGGTCTTGTTTTTAAGAACTGGTAGTTTTTCAGTGCTTTCTAGCGTTTCGAAGTTTGACAATCCATGATCAAATGCAACCTCATATGAAACTCATATTTAGAAACATATTCAAATTAAACATATCTCCATGAGCACGATGATAGTAATGATTACAATAGCCTCATTCAGAGATCAATTATGACTAGCAGTGGAATCCAAAACGCATGAACTGTCCTAATATCTAAGTGGATAACGCGATGGTGTTGGAAGCGACTGGTACTGAGATTGAGTCTCGGAGTGTACACCAATTTCGGGATGCAGATTCATCTAGATGACGACTCCGAAATAGGATGAAACGTGCGTCCTGGATTTAAATGCTAGCCACACCCATATCTGCTAATAATGCGTGGGACTGATAGTGATATCGAGGCAATGCGCACAGGATGAACACATTCCAATACGAGACTGATCAATTGCTGTCCTAAAAATCAATGGGGAGATTCAAACAAGCGATACAAAAATGAATTTACAGCTTTATTCACAATGTCAAATTTTGTTGCCGTGACGAAGTCTCTGGATCAGTTGCACAACGTCACTTATTTTCAGTATAGAGGGTTTTTAACTAGTTTAGGTGCCTTAACTATCCTCTTTTTAATCGGATATGTCAGTATGTACGTTCTTTGTTTTGCCAGAGGTTAGACATGGGGAAAAAGATCACAAGTGCAGAGTTTCAGTTTGAGATTTGGCGCATATTGAATCGCTCTAGTTTGTAAGTCAGCCATACAGTTATTACTCGGATTAAATAAATCTAAAACAACAAGGTTTATTACGATAACTGAACAGTTATAAAACAGGTGGGCCAAATGTTATTGTGCGTGGTCAACTAAATTAAGTGACTTGACAATGATTTTCAAGTAAATCGATTTATGTAAATGGTCAGAAATGCTATTTCTGCATTCAAAATTACAGATCTATTTCTTGAAATAATAGGGTACTTGAAATTAAAATACCTTCTGGCTGATTTTGATAGAATCCATAACTAATGTCATAGTGTTACTAACTGTCAGTTTTATTCGAATTTTATTTTTGATATTTATAATGTTACTTGACTTCCGAAAAAACAACCATTAAAATCGTACTTAGTTTACACATAAATTCAACAGTGCTTAAACCATTGTTGGTGTTATCACTCACCAGAAGTGTGGAATTAATTGCACCATAAGCATTCGGTTGCATACAAATTGTAACATTAAACAGTCATAAAACATGCCTGAAAAGTTCCGAAGCTTACCTATATCGAGGTAGAATGTGATTAATGTTATATTTGTGGTACTGACGTGAATTCTTATGTACACGGCCACATAAAGTCTATATATTGTAATTGAACACAGAATACAAAATAGCATGTGACCAACAATCGCATTTTTAAATTACCATGTTATGATATTATATTTGTTAAAATTCACATTACTAGTTATATAATCAACTAGGCATCATTTTTAAAATGATAGCTACACTGTTGATTGTATTATTTGCTTCAATAATCAGTAAGTTGCTTAAAACACATTTTGAATGAAAGTATGTAAGAGATAAACATATTTCAAAAGACAGAAAACGCTTTTACTTCTGTTACCAACGAAGAACCATTCCACTTTACAATGATAACGATTTTAAAGTAACCACGAAACGGGATACCCAGGCTTGGTAGATAGCGAAAGTGGAAAATTTAGGCTCACTGGTACTTCATTTGATCCACTACCAATAATAGTCTACAAAAATATTGTTATATTTTGCATCAGTGAATAATTTCATTAGAAACATTTTATGATTCTCCTGGTAATTATCAGGCCAAATAACTGATTGAAATGATTTCGAATCACTTCCACGGATTATTAAATACAACGTTGATCATTATTTAAGCTCAAAGCTAATGAAAAAGAATTTCTTCATAATTGTTAAATCCACATATAAAAGCTGTGCTCAAAATCGGAGTGTATAAATACTTTTAGAGGAACATTTCTTCAATGGTTAACTTCATTCAAGAGAGAGTTAACTAAAGGACTGTTATTCAAGAGAACACAAATTTTGTAAATGCTTAATGAGCATTAAATGAAAAAGGGAAAAAAGTGTGCTTATAATGCAGTTTCTTAAGTGAACATGAAAGTCTTAAGCTTATATTTGTGAAGTGCATATTGTAGGTAGGCTGACATTTTACAACTTGATAATTTTACACGATCGGTTCGTATGTCTCTCCACATTAATTTAATGATTTCAAACAAACAGAACATTTGATAGAATGTTATTAATATATATTTGTCTATTCACTTGACACTGATTTAACCATGCTAATCTTGATTTCGTTTTCCATTGAACTAAATATTCTGATTGAATACTATTTTCTAATCAACCTTTTGTTAATTTGATTATCTTATTTATTTGCTAACTGAAAAAGCAGTTTAAAATAAATTATGAAACATTTGAAATTCTAATTTCAATTCATTAATTTATCACAAATACACCATGATTTTATCATTACAAACTTGTACTGTCTTCTTCGTATCATATTTGAATAGTTTTAGATTTTTCACATACTAATCACTTGTAAAACCTTAGTTATGCACGTAAATTTTAATTATTTCCATCTTGAATGTTGTACACAAATAAGGGAACATATTGACCAACTTGCCTGTGCAAATCTCAGGAAAAATAATCTATCGGAAGCTAAGAGTTCACTTGAATTTTGAACACGTTGTCTATTTTGCAATTTCCGGTATGTCTGAAAAGTAGTTGGAACAGTCACATGAGATATTTATCATTCATGACTAAAGTATTGACAATATCATACAAACAGTCAATCAGTGTTAACATTAATTTCAGTTGTAATTTAGTTCAATTAGATTTCTTTTACCTACTTGTGTTTATCTAAAATTTTGCTCGGATAACTAACTCATTTATCGTTATCAAATACTAAATTACTGGTGGATTGCATGACAATTAAGATTTCGAATGATTTGAAATATATATGTAGATGAGAGAGGTGATTTCCGACAGTGAATAGTATCAGACAATTGTTAGCTTTGAGACTGATTTTCAGTGTTGTAATTAGGAGCCTGATCTATGAAGTTGGGTATGTTCGGAGTAAGGTGATCACAGAATGGTGATATCGGATTACTACCATACAAAATCATAAACTGGCTGGATTTGAGAATCGGTCTATTACTCAACAATTCTAATCCTCATTGGAGAAAACAGATGAATGAATTTCCTATTTCAAAAGGGAACGCTGAGAAACATTCAATTTCTGCTTCTGAAACTAATAACTCGTGATCGTATGCGTGTTTCAGACTGTTCATACTGTGAACGTGTGTTCCAATCTACCTATCTGGAATTTGATATGAGTATTAAGTTTTACGGTCACACAATCAAACCTTATGTCTTGTAGAATGACACTACATCGCCATATGATATTTACATTTAATTTATTCACATACATTGTACATTATTTTCAATCCTCCATTGTCAGCCAAAATTTCATTCCGCGTCCCAATTCTATCGCTCTAAATAAGTTGAATTTAGAGAAAATGAGGAATATTTATCAAGGTTTATAACGAATTAAACTGATCATTTTATTTTGTTCTATTTACTACAACTGAAGAGACCATTCGGAATCTCATGGATTCACTGGACTCATAAATAAGTTTTCAAGATGAAAAAACCTATTCTGCTAGAACTATTCACAGTTTAATTGTTGTATGATCGAACAGATTATTTCAGAAAACAGCAATGGATTTGTACTAAAAATACATGAATCGGTATTAAATATCACAATATTTAATGATTATTTCAACCACAAAGCAGCATGTATCGAATTCTGAATTAGGCAGTTCTCACTCTACTGTATACTCGCCTACAATGTTGATTTTTATTTCAATCAATTAATTTGCACTTAATATAAATGATTTCTTGCAGACACGATAATTATTCTGCAGCAGCAGCAGCAGTTAAACAACACTGGTAGTGTTTTACTTTCAATAAGCCATTCTCACTCACAAATAGTAACTTTGTAACTCTTACTACTGTCCTTAACTCAGCCACTTTTATTTGGAAGGCTCTTCTGAAAATTGTGAACTATATTATCACTTACCTTCATTGAGAAGGATTTGAATTTTCAGTATCTTGAAACTTGTTTTTTGGTCAAGTTATTCGTAATAACGCTTACCAAGCCCCAACAAAACACAGAAATTACTAATTTATTTCTCATGCTTGTAAACATTAACACGATTTGAATGAATCTGTTCCGCGATAATATACACATGGATTACCGTGCTCAATCATATCTATTGCGATCGATATTCCAGATCAGCTCTGGTTGGATGAAAACAGGTAACTTGCGAACTTTCCTATGCGTGTCACGAACCTAGAAAAATTGACTTCATCGAGCAAAAGTTATAACTTTGAAATGAATTCCTCAAGTAATCATTTCGTTTGGAAAGAGATTATGTATTTTTAAAACTCTAGGTAAAACTTTAACTAAAATGCTCAGAATATTGGGTGGAGGTGGAATAATTCGGAAACTTGCATGAATATTTCACTTTACTCAATCGTCCCTTCTGAAATTGGTGTTTTTCACTAGGTAATTATGTGAACCATTTATGTAAATGGTAATTATCAGTATAAAGGCTTATTGTTCTGAAACACTTACCTTTTCAAACGAATCAGAATGGTTTTCGTAATGAGATCGTAGACAATCTGTTTGCCTCATATTTGCAATCAATCCTGCATAAGAATCTTTACCTGATCGTTGATTCCCATTGATATCCTCGAGAACACCTTATATTTATATAGAAATAAGTAAATAGATTCAAACCTGATTCATTTTCATTTACAATGTGTTATTGAATGACATTGGAAAAGTTTATTATTTGTGGGAATTTCTTCCTCTTCTTGTAGAGTTATGAATTGTTTATACCTGCATTGTAATACTATTAGTAGTACATTTATTCGTCATTCAAAGTTAGAAATCTACATTCACTGACAGTGTTCTCTATTTACTGACGTCTCTGAGCGTCAGTTTGTGTGAATTGGTAAATCCATTTTAATATAAATACACAGTGAATGATGTTCTAGTTAATACTCGATACACGAACTTATGTTAGATGTACACATTTGTTAAAAATGTTTTGGTTGTCTGATGCAACGTCCAAGCATAGCTAAATATTTTCTTATCTTCAGGTTGATGTTGATATGACTCATAGAATGCTAGCTTGAATGTACATATATGTTAAGTGAAAATTCAAGACCCATGATCACAATAAATGTGGTGAGAAAGATAATAGTGCAATTACAATTCGATCAAATGTTTAGTGTAAAAATTAGGATGAATGCGAATTGAATGAATCATGTACTGGGGAAATTAATATTGATGTTTAACCAATAGTAATTAAATTAATACTAATGCTAGTACTACTACTATTAAACTTGGCTACAAAAGCTCGTACGTAAAATGGTCAAATTAGGTCACTCAATAGCTCAGATTACTATTGATTAATTGGCCTTGAGGTTGGCCAATAGAGGAAGAGCGGTTGAAGATATTTATTTTGTACATAGAACTCCGGTTTTTTTTTATCTGGATGACTACTACTTCAGCCGTTTGAAGGACAAGCTTTGGCAAAAAATTATTGACACTATAAATAATTGAAAAGGATTGGTTTATACTGGCACCATGACCAGTTTGTACTAAATGAGTTTGTATCGAGCTGTCCACTTTCTTCACTAGACCTTTGATTAGCCACGCTGGGAGGTGTTCGCGAACACGAATATATAAAGTTCTAGAACTCCGACCAATATAACTTGCTCCATAGGAACTGATAAATACGAAATGAGGTGGTCGTTCTAGGTAATTAATCTTTTAGCTTCAGTGTCACCATTAGGCGCGTAGAAAACAGTGATCATAGTTCTCCGGCACTGGAAGATTTTCGTATTGCCCTGCGTGATCTGTGGGTTAATATTTCGCTAGCCGCATCCCCTCTAAATTGCAGGCTCATGAATATGGATTTCTTATTCACCTTTTGTATTTTGTCTATTCTCACTTTCGTGATCATATATTTAATTATAAACTTTCTAGGGTAACTGTTCTCCCTGAGAGTTTTATGCAAGGTGTTTAGCTCATCTTCAAGTATATCCGTAAAACATATGGTGCGTATTCTGTAACTAAGGGTTTTGATCAGGTTCCGTGTGTACTGTAGAGGTACAAAGCTAAGGTGATGCGTATGCTGCTCAGTTCGGGTATTTTTTCTGCTTAAGTTCCGCTCTCTTAGTTAAGAGGGCGTCTAAAAAGGCTATTCGACCATTACTCTCTTCTTCAGATGTAAACTTAATGGCTAAATGCAGTTCATTGAAGTGCCTAAGAACCTCTTGCTGTGATGTATTATCTTTACAGAAGATGAATGTGTCATCCACATATCTACAGTAGAATGTGAATTTTTGAATAATCTTTTTTAGTGGACCGTTTTCTAGTTTGCCTAGAAAAATATCAGTTAGTATAGGGCCTAGTGTTGATCCCATTGCAACACCATCTGTTTGTCTATATATTTCTCCGTTGAACTTGAAATTCACATTTATGGTGCATTTGAGTAATGACTCTTTTACGACAGTTTCAGTTTCATTTTCAGTCAGTTGTTCATCTATATATTCTACGGTCTCTATGAGTGGGACATTTGTGAGTAATGATGTTACATCCAAAGACATCATCTTTAGTCCCGAAGTATTCGCATTTTTGATTTTGTCAGCGAATCGGAATACATCCTTAACACTATGTTTTACAACTACTTGAAATAGATTATATAGCTACCAAACCACTTAAGTGTGGTAGGTGGACCAATCAGTTTGCAAAATCACATAAACTCATGCTGTTCAGTGAAAACGGCGATAAAGATGTATTGTTCTTAATCCTTCGTAGTTGAATTGCCGACGAAATTGAAAGTAACACAAATTTAATGCGTCTTATAAAATAAGAGGTCAGTCCGATCAGAGCATATTGTGAGTGTCGAAAAACAATCAAGAGGTCAAATCTCTTTGTTGTGGAATATTGGATATAAAAATAAGGTTAGGAAGAATGTCATCGATCTTTCGGTTTTAGATGAATATTATCTAACTGCTCTGAAAACATTTAACCTCAAGTAATCGGAGGTGATGGTATTTTATTGATCAAAATATAAAACAGGATAATTGCTTGTGCGTATACTACAATATAAAATACTCTCAGGCAAATTACCTATAAGATCTATAGCATGTAAAAGTTCATGGGCGATAATCCAACCCAATCCATTGTATCTGGTGGATAAATCTTCATCCTTTTCATAAAATGGTGGTTGCATCAATCCGGCAAAAATATATATGCGGTTTAAATTTTTCAAATAGTAGGCCTCAGGTAAATAAGTTGGTGAATCACGTAGCGACCTAATTATTCAAAAATGAATACAAACATCACATAATAAATAATGTAGCGTCAAACCTCAGATTGGTAATCAGTGCATCAGTGTGTTTAAAACAATTAGTCCCTCTGATAAATTTAGATCATGCAATGAGAAGACGAAGTCTATCAGAATTATGTGATATATTTGCGCAGTACATTTATATATGTGATCAGACTGTTTGAAATGTATTGCTCAAATATATCACATAATTCTGATAAACTTCGTCTTCTCATTGCATTATCGAAATGCATCAATATGTCCAAACACGTTAGTAAAACTAAACTATAACACTGAAATATCAAGTAGTCATGATAATTTACAAATGTAAACCATGATTGGAATAACATATTTTAGCGAATATAGTGTTATATACTTATGGTCTTATTACTATCAAATGGTTGTTTAAAGTACCACTCATTAATGTGGAATATCTTATGATTGATACAAGCTACCACTTCACTGGTTACCAAATATAATCCATTACATGCCTTTTAATATCTGGTAGTTTGTTTCACTAGAAAAATGTTTGCATTATTATGTGCAATTTACATTGATCCATCTTGAATAACAGAGATATTTCTATAATGAGTCGTAAATCTTCTTTATTACAGAACAGTAATGCGAGTGAATTTTCTATAATGAAATAGTACATTAACTAAAGACATGTTTAACACAGTATTGAGATTAGATGAATAAGTGAATATTAGTTATTTGAGACATAAGTATTCAGACAGTTTCAGAATTAGTCATTTTGTCAACTTTTAACTATACATCAATAGCTGCATTAAATATGTTTGATGGATGTGAGTATAGTCAGTTCAAGTGGGATTTCCTCACTAACATTCTTAATGAAATCTACACTGTTAATCAGTATTTGGTAATTTATGTTTCTAAGTTATTTGTTTTTGAATGTTTTCTCACTACGTTTTTATTATTTATTTCGCTTGACCAAAGACAATCACTTGTTTTCGTTTGCTAACTCGCCATTTTAACTTACATTGCATTCTGAAAGTGAAGTTTTGTGGTTGTCATCAAAATTATCGGATGATCATGTTTAATCATCATTCGTTATGCGTCGGTGTTTTATTAACATGATTGTAGAACGATTGAGTTCACAATACTCAACAGAGTTATAATGTGTAGATCAAACGTCTGCATATTTACACTTGGACAGTCTATTTTCGTGAAACAGCACTATGTAAAACGGTAAGCAACGCGAAGAAATTGTCTTCTTTAATTAGTTCTTTATCAGGCCTCTACACTAACAAAAATGTTTTACAAATGAGTGAACAGTTGATACTAATTAGATGGTGGTGAATCAATTAACCAGTAAAATAATCACTTAATTACACAACGTTTGGAAAATGAAAATGAAAACAAAAGTGAATTTTCATACCCACTCAATTATTACAAGCAGTTACATAAGAGTAGGAACAAGACTCAAAATACAAGTGTTTTCCGTTAACAGTGAGATTAATGGTAAGCAATTGGTAGGATGAATTCGGTGGAAATTATATAATAAGATTACCAAACAGTTTACTTAAGATTAGCACTAGAAATTAAAGTCTTCACAAAATCGATGTTCAGAAAATTCTAAAAGAGAATGAAAGGTTTTCAAACATGTCATATTATTTAAGTAGAAGATCAGGGTAGATTCAAGGGATGTATAACTTTTTTTCTGTGCACAAAGGTTAGGATTTTCTCCGTGTATTTCTATGGCTTCTACTGTAAGAATCAGATTCTCGAACCATAGGGTAAATCAGGTGGATTCTATAAATAATTCTAAACGCTGAACTTTTATTTATATGATGGGTGGGCGAGGAAAATAGTGATCGGTTGTTTACCTAGACAGACTAGTAGATGGCCTGACAGCTATTAGACGTGTTTTATGTTTTCCTACCCGTTTTCTTTTGGTTATTATTATTGTCGGTTGTTGACGTCGGAATATGCTGACGTTATAGTCAAGCCAATCACCTATTCTTGATTACAGTTGTGTTGATGTCCTGTAGAAAAGACACTGGCAGGGTATCTAGTGTAAATTTTAATGTAAGACAAATCAGTTTCCATTGGTGTTAAGGTGAAGAGTGGGCATTATTTCACTATTTGGTGATCAGTGTCAACTAGATGCGTCAATATAGATACTCTTCTTGATTTATGGCCAAAATACAAACAAAGTTTTAAACCACATAATGTTGAATAGAAAAATGATGGCTTACGTTTTACCGGCTTTTTTAATGCTTCTTCTTAATTTCTCTGAATATATGGATTTTTGTGCATAATACTCATTTAAAATATGATCTTCAGCATTTATAGGATACTGAAATTTAAGAGTTAGAATGATGATGATGAATTTACGTAAGAAAAATTAAGTAAACTAAGTGAAAAACTCGATTTATCAAATGTCATTTAAATTTAGACTGGTGTAATTTATCTTCAGAAAGATATGACACCGTGTACGCGGATGTGTTCAATATTAATTTGATTATAATCACCAACTAACGTCATCTATAAAGCAGTTGAATCATGGAACAAAATCTTCAAGCTAAAAATAAGCTCTCGTTTCTGGTGTGCACTTGGAAAGTTGTAAACATGCGACAAATCATTTGTCATGTTATGTAATATGGTTTGCACTATTTCAAAGTAGTGTGAAGAGACGAATAATTCAGCTTTGAATATGTTCCGGTATCAAAAAGTTGTAAACACAGCCGTATAACGTGTACACAGTAAGATTAATAATTATCCTAATGAAAGAATCGTTTCGTTTTCATCAAACTCACTCCGTATATTTCTGAAAGATCTTCTCTTCTTTCTGATCCATTCACATTCGAGTATAAAATGAAAGCCTTGGTTTGGTTAATCTATAACATGTATTAAATTGTTACAAATATGTCATTCTGATTAAAAATTAAGCTAACCTTGTCTTTGAAAAAGTGTTTTGTACTGTCATCCAACCATGTGGCTTGCGTGACTGATTCAAATATAGAGCTTTTCATTTCTTCAACCAGTTGTTGAACCTTTAGTTGAAAGATAGCAATCTAGTTGAGAATCGGGTCTCTTCAGAGGTGCTTCAATTTTTACCACAAATATATTTTGATTTCAGTAAGCACTTATCGCAGTTAAGGTTTACACTGGTCTGTTCATTTAATATCTAATGCTTAACACTTACACCTGTCAACCCTCGTGGAAAAGCACAGGCCGTCCACTAGCTTGCTTCATCGAACTCTGACCTGAGCAAACCTGTCCGGTTGTTTCAAGTCGTTATTCATCCTTTTGATACCTGCTTCCAATTCCAGAAACAGTGTGTCAATAAGTCTTACACTTTTCCGTTTTCCTTCAGAATCCAAAGTTAGGGGTCGCCTCATGATGCAGTTTGATGATTTTCACAGTGTACGTACTATCCACGTCCAACGTCTTTTCCCAATTTCTTCTTCAGCAGGAAGCTGGTTTTTTCTCTTCCAAATTAAACTGTTGCTGATGATATCCGGTCGACGGACATTCAGTATCTTGTGTAGATAACTGTTTATAAATACTTGTACCCTTTTGATGATAGTTGTAGTAAATCACGACGTTTTGACTCTTTACAGTAGAAATGTATTGATGTTTGCATTGAAGCTTCTAACTACCACATCGGCTGACAATTGTCTTGGGTTCCGTATGTTCTTCAATTATAGAAATGCTGCTTTTGCTTTACCAGTTCACACTTTTAGGCCTACATTGGATTCTCCTTCTTCATGGATTATGCTACCCAGATACTTGGAATTTTCCACCTCTTCCAAAGCCTCCCCATCAAGTGTAATTGGGCTGGTGTTCTCTGTCTTGTAATTCGTGATCTTGCTTTTTCCCTATGTCAACTGAGGCCTAATGCTACAGAGACTGCTTCCACATTGGCTGGCTACACCAGCATTTGTTGGTGTATACGGAATGGACGAGCTAGTTGGTCGGCGAGGTCAAATTTACTAAGTGCGTCCAAGCCGTTCATTGTATTTCGTGCTTTCTATGAGGTGTAGAGGTCTTCGTTATCCAGTTAAACACCTGTAAGTCCCCAACGCTACATCACTTTTAGATGTTTTTTGAACGGATTTCAAAATTGTATTTTTTGTTAATCAAACTAGCATATATACTTTCAACGAATAAAAATCTGCTGAGCGTGCATATGATTTAGTACAGTTCCCTCAACTGGCATACAGTTATGTTAACTTGAGAGGTAATTATGAGTAGAATATTCTTACATAAATATATCTTTATGCAAAATGTCAAGTGAACAACAGTAGCTGACTTTATGCAAAATGTTCACTATTCACACCATGAAATATCTGTTGGTATTAATAACTTGACTTGAGTTGAATGGTACCTTTTCAGTGCTATGTAGTTGTCTGACAATAACTTCTGAAATATCTCTCCTTCAGTTTGTGGTTACTGGTTTCAGTGATTACTTCAACTTGAGGATCCGTATTGAACATGTACATGACTATCTGTATTAAACACGTAAATTAGTATCAGTATTGAACAGCAATTTGTGTTGCTTGCTACTGTTAAACTCAGTAAGAAATCAATGACTGAAATTTTACTGAATATCAGTTACAGATCATAATGTAACACATATGATCGAAATTGGTTGACTTGTAGTTCTGAGCTTAGCCTGAAATATTAAATTAAAATTTACGGTGATAGGACGACTGTTTGACAAGCTGAACAAACCTCATTTCGGTGGTTTTGAGTGATGCGAGAAGTCAGGAAATGCTTTTCAAGTGTCCATGGAAAAACGATCTTTACTCGATCCATACAATAAGGTGAGAAGTATGTAGTATTGCCTAATCAAAACACAAAATATTGGAAAGCATTTTGTTAAAGAGATACATGAAGAGTTTATTGAATTTATGGTAAGTTGTTTTAAAAAGGTGCATATGATATGTACGGTAATCAATTTACTAACTGAATTAAATCATGCAACTATAGAGTGATTCATCATATAACTGTAACTTGGCTCATAATAAAGATTTGATGATATTATATTCTTTACGTAACATTCATCATACTGGTGTATTTTATTAAGTCTATAGAATCTTCATCTTAATTCAACTTAAAAGCAGATCCGATTGAAGAGAGGACGCATTTCGTCTATTTGACTATCTACTACAAAACTAATTCTTAAGGATATTCTTAAAGCATGGCGCGCTCATTCGTGAACATGCATCAAACTAGACATAATTGTTAAAGATGCTGGTAATACGTTTGATGAATGAATTTTAACAAAATAACAATAATTATATAACATTTTTCAATTCACTTGGATTTGATTTATGTGCGGAATCAAAATTTTCCTGATTTAATAAACGAAGTTTCTGTTCCGCCAAAAAATTCAAAATAGCCAGGTCGTAGAGCGCACTTTGAGAAGATCATTGAAAATTGAAACAAAGCAAAACAATTATTATTGTTTGGCTGCTTAGCAAATGTGATTATCATATTATATTGTCTGCCATAAACTTTAATAACAATCAGTTCTATGAAAAGAACAATATAAGTAAATTCACTTCTTCTGGTTTCATTCTCTACCATATCTCAACATAATTCCAAATGTTAGAAATGGATGACAGAATTGGTAGTCCGAATAAATGCTTTTTGTTTGAGCGAATTTGTCTTATTTGAAAATTTATTTGTGGATATTTGATTGTCACTTTACTGAGAGTATATGTAAGATTTTTAAATTCACTCAATAAGTAGTAAATAATCAAATTTCTGAGGAGCTAATATATTATGTCATATATTCGTGGGTTTTAATACCTTAAAGTGGGTTGCATTTCTGTTGGCTGTTTTATTCGGTTGACTTCAGACCATGTGATTGGATGGTCTAGTCCTCATGGGTTTATATCCGTAGATATAAGTTGGACTCGAGAAACATTTATTTCAGTTTGTGTCACTGTATACCAGGAGATATTGAACAGCTGGTTTAGTCTAACATGGACTGGTGAACAATAAAGACCGACGACCATACCAGTGATCAAAACCGGAACATCCATATTTCGCCAAAGATTCCCAACCATTCGAACAAATGGAATGATCTCTGACGACTCCCATTTTAAATGTACACTGATGAGGTGTCCGATACCATAACGAAACACTTATCAAGTTATCTTTTTTATTCATTGGTACTCCAAACGAGAACGATTCCTGACAAACACAGCCTACAAATAAAATAATTTACCCGAAACCCCTTCGAATAATCTACCCAGATGTACTTAAAACGCCACTTCAGAAACATATTAAACGGTTTAACATATAGCCCATTCAAAATAAAACTAGTAAATTAATTCGTGAAAATAATTAAAGTACGTAGAATGCTTGTTGAACCCTCAATATATGCAGACTTTATTCGCTGTTTATAGAATTTTCATTATTTAAGGTCAAGCCAAAAAGATATTTACATTAAATAATCTGAGATTCTCAAGGAAGATTAATTCATCCATTACTGTTTGACGTATCTTATATAGGAAATAAAGTCTTCTCTCAGAGTATGACAGATTTTACATTGCTTTCCACAATATGCATTACTGACGAAGACGTTGTCCTTGGAAATTTCAAATTAAAAAGATTTCAATCCATTGTTTATAAGTGATCATCCAGCATTGTCATACTTGATCACTACTACTGTCTTTTGATTAATTCAAAAGCAAATAATCAAACAAAAATTCAATTTCAGCAATTACCTTTTGTCTTCATCTGTTTCCAATTGAATTTCATGGAATGCACAATAATATTGTAATGCATGTTTTTCTTCAACCTTTACTGGTAATTTATGGTAGCTTCTAAATCCAGTTTGATTGAACAATTTGTCAAACAAATAATCCCAATCGATCTAAACAGACAGTTTTGTAAGTTATCAAAAGTTGCTTTCAACAAAGGGTTCAATTTCATCATTATGTTTGTGATAATGAAGAAATTTGACAATACTCACCCACTAAGATGATGTAAAATATGTCTGATATTCGTAAATCAGTATTACTGAATTAGTACTCCAGTCAGTATAATGGTGAAATTGTCTACTTATCTAATATTCTAGACTTTTACTAAATTTTATGTTAGGTCCCACTACTGTCTATATTGAATTCTATCGATCATGTTGTAATGCGGCTATCAGCCCAGGTGACTCGACAGTGTGTGCACGATATTGAGATGTAAGCTCGTTTGACTTTAGTTTAGAAAGTGTGTAAAGCATGGTTTAACTGGTATATGTCTAGTTGATATGGGGAACCATTTATATACTTTTATATCACAAAGACATTCATTTTAGTTTGGTGTCACCGAATAGTCTATCAAAATGACTGGTTTCAACCTTTCCTCTTGTGGTTTATAAGCATCAGTAGCAGACTTTTTTAAATTCGTATGCAGTTTAAAACGATACAAATGAATTTACCGGTGGACAAATGGCCTTTAGTTCATCCATGCTAACCGTTTGGCTTTTTCTATAAGTTGAGGATGTTTGTGGATCCAAGAAAGCCTGAGAAATAAAACCAAGGCAACGATTAAATACATGAAAATAACCAAACTCTAATTTGTGCATGATACAAAACATAACATGCATTTATTGGTGAAATGAGAATTTTGTAAAGCATGGAAACGGAATTTCTCAACTAATGAGTGTTTTAAATATCTTGTTTAAGTGATATTAAGTAATATTAAATAGTAATACACTAGTTGCATTTTCAACTGCTTGTGATTAACGTGTAGGTAGGTTGAAATAGGTTTTCACAACTAGCGTTTGATTATTTCTGTCAGGAACATTTCAAGAGACTTCGGTTGGTATATAAAGAAACTGGATATGATATTTTAATATTTCTACATGGATTCCATCGAGTGAGTTTCCCTTACGTAAGTGATTTTATTGTACCTACTGCAAATAGAGTAATTTTTGGAAGATATTTTTCATTACTGTTATGAGAACCAACCAGTGAACCTTTCGATTTGAAACGATAAAAACCTACGAAATACATTTGTCCGAGCAATTGGTTTTATCATCGCTAATATCACTTTCTTGTGAGCGGAACGCCCACTGACCTGAAAAAGCCAGATGAAACATAAATCCTAGGGTTTGGTGGTTACGTATACTCAGTAGTCAGTGTACTCTCAGGTGGATGAGGGGATAATTTACTGAGCGGAATGACTACTGCTGATGAACCGTAGTAGATTTGAGGTTAGCATGATATCTGTTCACTTTTCAAGTAGCGTATACGTTTCGGTATGCTAATATCGAACCTAGTACATTCAAATTTCTTAGTGAGTAGGTTATGTTCATAGTAATGAGTTGGGTCTACGCTTCAAACTTTCAAGAATCATTTACTGTTGAGTCATCATTTATTTTCATTAGTAACAACTGTCTGATTGAGGTAATACAACTTTCGGTTCACAGTCATATATTGTGTTTAGTGAATAAAGGACTCATAACTTGTTATCAATTTATATTTCTGTGTAATACAACTCGACATTCATGTGGAATGTATAACTTACAACATGTAATATTCAGCATGGCTTATTAGAAAGTAAGTCATAACAAACATTAAGCAACTCACATTAACTAGGCGGTCAAATAATTGAAAAGTACGTGCAAGCTTTGTGTTCTGTGACATATTCAGATTTAGTGAAATAACTGACTTATAAAACATGATCTTCAGGTCTAGCACTCCATCCTATTTGCAAGAAGAAATGCAACATAATATGTTATGAAAACAGGATACAAGGTTGCATTTATTGTGAAGGTGATAATCAAAACATAATCGAACTTTGATGACACATTTGTAATACATAAGTGATTTGTCATGCTTATCTTGAAAACTATAATTTCTGAAATTTTCGATTGTTGTATGTATATAACTGCCTAATAATTATAAGTTTAAAATAAAGAATCAGTTCCATGTAACTATTTTGTTCAGAGTGGCCATATCTGTTTTCTCTGAATAAATAAGCGTGTTATCAAATCCAATCAGTATTGTATCACCCAGTTTAACCCTTGACAGTGAATAAGGTACTGATACTATTTAATGTAAAGTACTTTGTTTCGTGTGGTCTCGTACACTGAGAGTTGTATGTTTTGGTTCTGCAACTCTTATGATCCCTGTGGATAACATCACCATAATCTATTTCGGACAGACATTCAGTAAAATAGATGATTTTAGGAGATGATTTAAAACTTATTACACATGTAACCAACTAAAACATCCATTCAAATCTCATTGTTTGTGGATGATTGTTTTTGTAGATTTTGTTGACTTGCTGTGCTTTTGGATTACACTGAAACGCATTTTCCGTCTCATGTTAGACTATGCGAGAAGTTGAACATTTTCGTATAAACTGAATTATTTAATCCATTGTTCTCTGTCTACCAAAATATCACTCTATTATAATTCTCTGACATTCTTAGGACGTTTCCATACTTGTATGTATGCTTTCATAATAGTGATAGCAATTAGTGTCATTTCACTGCTTGTTAACTCTTATACAAGTACAAGCATTAGCGGCATCCACTTTGTCTGATGTACTTCATCTCACAGTTGGTGCAACCTATTTTGTAGCTGACATTTAATTTATTAATCTCACCTCTCTATCGTTTAGATTTGTGTAAAATCAAATGAAGTATGTTGAGTTGTTAGTGAATTTGCGTCGGGTGATTTCTAGAATATCGGTCACAGAAAATACTTTGACTGAAATGTTGTAAAATTATGTGAGATTTTGGAGGTGGCCTGGTTTTTATTGCGCCAAATATTCTTTTTTGTGTGTTTGTAATAACTAAGATCATCTTAATTTAATTTAGGAATTTTTGGCTCTCTGAATATTTCACTTGCATTAAGTCTCAATTCGTCAGACTTTCAATTTTCTACTCAGTGTGAAACCGAAAAACATGCTATTTGAATATCATAAAATAATCTGTGTTACGATTTGTGAATTTCTGTGAACGGAAATATAGTACAGTCAGATTATTGACATTCATTGAATGTGTTTCGTGAATGGTAATAAATAATACAACGGAAAATGAATTATGTTCTGGATCAGTAAATTTAACATTGAGAAAGAGTAATATAATCTATAAATTACCTTCTCCAAGAGATTTTGATCTGAAGTTAGCTGACCTGGATAGATCTGATAGAAGTAAAATTATATTAGAATTCATACAGATTGATAAAAATGTAATACTACAAGGAAACGTCTGAGTTTATCAACATCCAAAATATTATGAAACACATAGAGGAACACAGTTCCAAAAAACATTTGGAAGGAGACTGGGAAAGTGAGAGTATACAGCATAATGGTTAGCATTTATCAAATAACAAAACTTTCAGCCTAAAATAATCAAAAGGCTAACTGGTTTCCCAGATCGTTTACAGATATTCAGATGCTATCCGAATTTTACCATATTCATACATATTTTAATAGTCGGGTATAAACTTAATGAATATTTGCATGCACTATCTACTTCTCAAACGCTTTGCTCTGTGGTATTTCCGAGTCATGGGAATTTCGAAATTGTTATATGTGAAACAGTGGTAAACTAAATAATGGTCAACTCGTTAGTAGTATAAGGTGTATTCTCGGAAGATGTTGTGGTAGTAAGGAATGAAATTAACGATAGATTCCATGGTGTGTTTCTAATTAAAAAGAGGATTTATCCATCCATTTTCTAAGACGAAATCTACTTTCTTCGTTACAAATAAATAACGAAAGGCATTTTTAATCGACTACTTGATTATAAATTGTTTGTTTGATTCAAGTTTTGAATTCGACAACCAGACATCGACTTAGTTTGCTGCGGAGTAATACAGAAGAAGTATTAATTACAACAAGAAACGCCTAATTACGTCTTCCTTGTACAATAATTTTTTTCGGCGCTGTGACTTATTACTTCACTTTATGTGTTCGCTATTATAAAGTGTAAATAAAAAATTACAATGTTATACTGGAGTACTACACGCTTCCTTAACAACTGAAATATTAACACTAAATAATTGGACTGTTAATCACTATGAAGAATTTCTACTTAATAGTGTTGATTAAATGAACGGTGAGGTAATCAGTAACGGTTAACCGACATCTCGCACATTATATTTTGATGTTATGTTGTTGAAAATGACCATCATGATGCCGTATACCTTGTGTTAGTTGATACACGTCAACAAAACATTTTAGCTTTCATGATATCAGTGATTTTCCTTTTAAAGTTCGGCCCAGTATATTACGATAAAATATTGCAAGAAAACCTGGAGATTCATAGTTCATGGTTTGCTTATCTCAACTATGTTTTATGATTTGTAGTCAGATAATATGTATTATCAGGTTACCATGGTATGATTTTTTGTTTTAGTAATACAGTCATACAATTGGATTGTTAAATTAAGGATGATGAGATTTGTTTTTCGTTAACATGTCACTAACGCAAAACAATCAATGAAAATCAAATTCGCAATACCCATTTAAAATTGATACACTGATTTTTAAATAATCACTTATTGTTGGTTACAGCATCCTCATAAACAGCAAACCTCATACAATTTGATGTTCAAGTTATGTGATTCGGGAAACTAATCTGATAATTTAGCACTCGGGTTTCTAATTAATCAAACTATTTCGTTTAGTTGATATAGATAACCTACTGTAGTGTTGTTTCACTTGGCACTGTGGATCCATTGCCTTACTGGTTGACTATTATGGCTGAATGATCGCAGTGTGCTTACTAAGCTGGAATACTATGAAGAGTATTTATTATTTTGGTCAGTTAGATGGTGTTTAATTTTGTCATTTATTTATTACAGTCGAACTGCTATCCATAATATACTATGAAATCAACGTACTCGAATTGTTCGATCCTCTTCGTCGATATCCAATGAAAACAAGGGTGAATGCCCTGTTGTGCTTAACAGTGGTAGGTATAAATCAGTCAAACTCAAATTTAGAATATTTCTAGCACCATCAGCATTTGTCATATTTGTTGAAGGAGATGTCAATAAATCCCATTCACCAAATAGCATCGAAATTAACTGACGAAATTGATTTGCAACATGATTAGCGGAATCATGAGGACCTTTTAAACAAGCTTCGTAAAATTCTCGAGCAGTAAAAAGGTGTGGATCATCCAAGGCATATGACTTGTTAGCTTAATTTGAAAAAGTCGATGTTTGTGAGAATTGTGATTAAGAAGTGAAATAATCAAATAGGTTTACAAATCACATGAATAGAGACAATCTGGTACAAGTTACTCATAATATAAGTAAACGGAATATATCCACTGAGACACAAGGTAAGAATGATTGGTTCAACGAATTCATTTTCAAAGCTGTATAATCGCAAACGTGTACTTATTTTTCAAAATGATAATAATTACAATAATAGTGACAATAAAATTACGTTAATCATTGTAACGGTGAAGTAGAATAAACAACGGTATAAAAACGTTACTTTAATTAGGGGAGAAAAATAACAGTTTTATTGTTAAGGGCATGAATATTTATTATGAAGATGGATAGGGAAATTATATTTGGGAAAGAAAAGATCAGCATGATAAGATAATACTGTTGTTTTATTTACATCACTGTTACCATGTTTAACGGAATATTAATATCACTATTATTGTAATTATTACCATTTTGAAAAGTAAGTACACATTTGCGGTTGTACAGCTTTGAAAATGAATTCACCGAAAATAGGACCCTTCGTTGAACCAATCTTCCTTAACTTATAGCCTAGTCATGTTCATACAATTGTACGCCCAACAATCATAGTTATATTAAACTTATTCGAGTACTGTTGAATGTGAATTCTAGATCACCTGCTAAAAGCAATTGTGTATGAAAAGTGATTTAGAGAACATATATGCAGTAACTCGGTAGAAAGCCTACAGAATTCTGTGATTCGATTATGATTAATCTTATTCGTCTGATTTATCACACTCTATTACGAACGTTCGAATTAGGTATACAGTACTCTCTGATTTTCAACAATTGTCAGTCACAATTCTATTCTTGATGTAAATCCGTTAAATTCTTATTTACAAGTTGAAATCATGAATCAATTGAAGCTAGACCACCATGGAAAACCTGGAAGCACTGGACAGCCGTTTCGTCCTGGTATGGAACTCCTCAGCAGTGCGCATCCACGACCCCGCACCTCGCGTGATTCGAACCCAGGACCGTCCAGTGCTTCCAGATTTTCTATGGTGGTCTAGCTTCAATTGACTCATGATTTCAACCAGTGAATTTTCTAAAATCTCCACAAAACCCACCCTGATAACAATCATCTGCTCACTAGTGACTGACTTCAGGAGATACTCCTGGAGTTCTAGTAAGAAGCCGTTACCAGTGGAGTTCAACCGGTCTGTTGTGAGATAGGAACTCACTGAAGACAATGGTGTACGGTGGCGCAACTTCGTGGATTGGTTGAAGTTAGGCATTAACACCATTGGATTCCGGCCGGCTCAGTGGTCTAGTTTGTTAAGCGTCTGGCGCGAGACTGATAGGTCCTGGGTTCGAATCTCGCGGGGCGCGGGATCGCCGATGCGCACTGCTGAGGAGTCCCATACCGGGACGAAACGGCCGTCCAGTGCTTCCAGGTTTCCCATGGTGTTCTAGCTTCAATTGACTCATGATTTCAACTTGTGAAATTTCTAAAATCTCCACAAAACCCATTCTGAAAATTCTTATTTAGTTGAAAAGTTCATCACTGCTCGTCAGGTGAATCTCGGCTACTTGAAGTGACTAGTTTCGTTTCAACCGTTTACGTGATATCATTTCATATGAAAATAATAGGAGAATATAAATAAATACAACCAAATCATATTGTTAGTAATATGAAAATACTTGCCAATGATATTATAGAAGTAATGGTCAGTGGTAATTCCGGCCTTCTTAAAAGTGTTAATCTCCTTTTCCTTATTCGATACTGGATTGTTTCTCACCCAGTCTGTGCAGGCGTAACGATCAAAATCATCACATGGATCTGTAGTACTCAAACGGGTGGCTACATTCTGACTTGTAGTCTCAGACAGTGATATTACTGTTAGAAAACAAAATAACGTCTTAATGGAAAACTATTTGAGATTGAATAGAAAGATTTACATTATTACACAAATATATTTAAAAGTTAGTCTATTTTTACACAAATTGAACCTATCACTTTAGCTCACAAAATAACTTCAGCACAAATTATTTTGATAAAATGTATCAGCTTATACTGTGTAAAGAAACTCAATTCATCATGGTTTGTATTATCCTGTTGTTGGTATCTCGACTAAATCTTGGTCATTGTTAGTTGGGATATGTGGATCCGATGTTGAATGTCTTGACACCGACATTATTTCACGGGTTTATTTGGAGATGGGATGTGACTGACAGAGTAATCGAGGACGCGTGTTCAAGATCCTGCTGTTAGTCACAGTTCATATTATATAAAGAGATATTTTTGTGACATTATACAGGTCATCTTAATCATTTTGATTTGGGCTTTTCAGGTGGTTATGTTTATTCTTCACCAGTTCCACTCTATTCGCAAGTACAAATACAAAACGGTCAACGCAATGTAGAGTAAAAGTGATTTATTTATTCGTATTCCCATAAAAATGAACAATTTCAATACTAAAAAAATTGAAGAAATTTGAAACAATTTGTGTTTAACCTCAAAGTTGGTGTTTTGATTACATCGTCTTTCATACACATGACATATACTCTACGTTGACAGTCCATTTTCCAACTGGTATAGGCATCTTAGAGAATTGGTCCAGGTCCCATGTTCTAAGTCACACTGTTGCCTCAGTTTATACCATTTAAAGAGGTATTTTGTGTCAAATTTTGTTATGAATGTGATCTTTACTTCAACCAGATATAAAGGGGTCGTGAAATCCCAGTGCGAAATTGCACATTCGCCAAATTATGATCCACTGACATCTATAATTAATAGAGATTCTACACATATTGCTTCAAATAAATCTAAATCTGTCCTCTCATCTTTAAACAGATTATTATTTTTATACCATTAGTCCATTGTCGCATTACTAGAGACAAGTTCATACCGGTCTTGATCCACTTTTACGGTTCACAAACTGTTTTACGACAACATATTAAACTATCGAACTTTATCGACGACTAGGATATTCCAAATGCAATCTCTTCTTGACGGACATGTACAGCCAAAAGCATTAAAAACAATACACAATGTGTATTTGTGTTATTTTCTTATGAATGTTCCATTAGGAATGTCAGACATTAAAACAGATTAGAACAGTTCATTCCCAAATCAGTTAAATGATCTGATTATCTATTGTACGTTGTCAGAGGAATATGGAATTTTAGTAGTTAGAGTTTACTTTTTCATTATCAACTAAGATACCACATATGATCGACAAGAGAATTTATTTACTTGATTTCTTATGTCACAAAGGGGCTTATCCATTGACCATTTGATATCTCACTAACTACCTTCATATCATCGAGGTAATCGTTGCAAAATAACAAAAACTGAAGCGCTGATTTAACTGGAGTGGATACAAACTGGGGGATATAAATTCTTGTTACACATGATTAGTGCACATATGCCATACAAATATGATAAATCGGTATCATAAAAAAATTAGTTTTTTAACTAATCCCCATTACGAGTTACATCACATAGAAATAAAATGAATAGGTAAAAATCTATAATACGATTTTGCTAATAGGTACACATACTCATGTTTGTGTTGTGAGATCGCAATATGAATGTCAAACAGTACAAGTTATATGAAATATCATTTATGTTTATTTTGTTTGGAAAACATAAATTCACAAAATCTTGTGCCATTCTACAAGTCCATTATGTCGCTTTTCCACATGTTTAATGCTTAATTACCTACGCATAAAGTGAATAAGAAATTAGAGAGAAAACTACAAGTATTGGAAACCTCGATTGCAATGACTGGAGAAGTATTCTGTTCATAGAATTGACTATATTACACTGAACAATTAGGAGAGATTTAAATTCACCGTTATGTCTTGACTGCAACCAAATACCACTTATGTCATAAATATGAGACCTATTTGGATGTACATAGAATCTATTTCATTGTAATGCTCGAAAATTTTTTGAAATACCCAGCAGTAACGCAAATACTAGAATATCATATTCAGTGAGCCCCGAAACTCCACAATTATTTGAACATTGTTGCATCTTGTTCCTTATCAAAAACAACTATATTTAACGACTATACTTTGGTATTTTGTGTTTCTTTTTCGTCTATACAACTAACGTCACATGTCTATGTTTTTTTATTCAATTAATTAATTTTCCATATTTTCGAAATAAACTTATACTACCCATATGATCGTTCTTTCTAAAATTACCTCTCTATTACCTCGTTTTATAAAACGACTCACCAAGCAATTCAGTTTTGTAAACAACATCTAAACATACTTCCATCCTAATGATGCTTGGTGAAAAGATAGCATGCACGTAAGTTTTTGCATATTCTGTGTTCAAAAACAATATTATATATGCCAACTGCAGACAACAAAAATTCTACACAAACTAACTTGCGATTCATTTTACAATAACTCAACATGCATTTTCATCGAGCTTTTATTTATCACAGTGTATATTGTCAATGCTGTGGTAGATTACACAATAACGTTATTGTTATTCAGTGCATTACAACATAGGTTTCAAGATAATGAGGATTGTATTTATGATACATGACTGTAAAGCAAGTATTAAAGTATGCTGAATGTTAAAACAGATATTCGCAAAAACTTAATTTGTACCTAGAACCGTACTGATGACGATTACACGAAAATTAGATTTATGAAATTTGCAAAAGAATAAAAAACAACGCAATTTACCATGACAACAGATGACGACAAGGTGGATCATCACTGAAATTGATGTGATTATTAAGACTAACTGAAATTGTTTAACTTTACCATATTGTATAGCGGTTTTCACTGTAAAGTATCGTTGATCAATAAACATACTGTCTTGTGTAAAGTATTGTAGAATATTTTTTCTGTTAAAAGAGTAACAATCGTCACTAAATATATACCAATTTACAAATTGAATTTCATAAAAGATTGGTTGATAATGATACTTATTATATTAATTTTTTGGTTAAAAACAAAGATTTTATCAGGTCAAACGAAAGTGAAGTAAAGTTATGCAACTTAGTTAGCTGTACCCTGGATTATGTTTCTCAGAATTTAACCTTAATTTAACTTAACATTCATAAAAGATTTATAAGCTTGTGTTAAATACAACTATTTCTCAATTATTTTCAAAAACTATAACACTCTTATTTTTATTTGATCTTGATGAGGTGAAGAATTGTAGAGAAATCTTACGTGTCATATTTTTTCTGTGTATACTATTTTGTTATCTTATAACGGTTATAGACGAAATTATCTTCATGAAATAATTGTTAAATGTAACGAAACGAGATGTTATATGAGTTTCATGTTGACTACTTGCTTTCTTTACCAATTCTATCCGATATAAAATGGACTTGATTTTTCTGAATAATTCATTTGATTCATATATGTACTGGTTTTAGTTCTTTAATCTTCCTTCTCTCTTTCTTCTTTGAATATTCTGATATGTCTTGTCAATTTTTTTTCCCAAATCCCCCTCGCCACTGATATGTCATGTTGTTTGAATGCCACTTGTTATATTTGGTCGTCGTTGATTGTTGTGTCGTAAATGCTCATCACTTATACTCGAAACGAGGGACCTCCGCATTTCCCATGACGTGAAAGTAAGAATACAAAGACTGGTATAAGTAAAGATCTATTAACCCCCAAAACATGATGCTGACGACGATGACCTTAGTCGAAAATACACTCATTTGTACATTGATTGTACGCACATTTTGATTAGTAAGTATCATGAATTCACACATATAAAAAATACTCATAGTTATAACAAATTAAATGCTGAGCATAGTTCATGTCAATTGAACACATAATAATCGTATGTTATACAGAATAAAATAACATACGAGACAATAAAACAAATAATACATTGAGTAATCATTACATTGAATCCAAACAGAAGTAATGTTGAACAAAACTCATAATGAGTAAATCAATCGAATTTTGACTTTCCTTCCCGTCACATGATATTCCAAGTTAGGGCTAGTCTTGTTATACAGTTTGATGATTTCTGTAATCTGCGTCCCCTCCAATTCTAGCTTCTTTCACTGACTTCCACTTCATCTAGAAGCTGGTTTGTTCTTTACCAGGTTACATTATTGTTGATTGTATCTGGCCGACGGATATAGCATATTTTGCAAAAACAACTTCTTGTAAATACCTGTACCTTATGGATGATGGTTGCAGGAGTTTTTAGGTCTCAGCTCCATACAACAAAACTGTCTAGACGTTTGTAATGAAAACTCTGAGTCTAGTATTGTGTGATAGCTGTTTTGGTTTCCACATATTCTTCGATTTAGGGTTTCTGTCCTTGCTTTGTCAATCACTGCCTTCACATCTCCATCAGATTGTGTTTGTTTGTCAACAATACTGTCCAGGTATTATGTTGAAAACTGTTCACGATACTGGTAGTAGTGTGGTACTTCTGTCGTCATCACACGTGAAAAGAACTCCTTTCTTTGGTATCATCACGAGTTGTCCGTCATTCCAGTCTGTAGATGCCCATTTCAGTCATACGATTTGGTAAAGCCGATTGGCATATTTGAACACTCATTGATGACACAACTGAAGGGGCTCAATAGTTGGGTTAAAGAGGAGTGGTTATTATATACTACCTCGCCTGACACCTCTGTTTATTGTGAAATACGAATCTGTTTCAATCAAATATTCTTTTCCTCACTCAAGAAGCCTTTTTATACTTTCTTTTACATTTTTGAGTAGGTTCAGTTCGTTTAAAGTCTTCATGACTAGTTCTGTTGGTATGGTGCCGAACGTTTAAGTTCCATAAACAGATATATGTACAGCAGTGGTTTCTGTGTTTAGTGCACACTGAATTATATGTCTGATAGCAGTTATTGCCTTGGCTGTTGAGGTGTTTTGTTGCAAATTCAAATTGTGTCAATGGTAGTTTTCCATGAAGCCTTCTATCTATTTGGTCATATAATATAACGACATATATTTGACCAATGATATTTGGTAGGAAAATGCTTCTCTTGCTATTTTGGTCCTGTCTATTCCCCTTGTTTTAATACAAAATTTATACATGATGATCGACCCAATGTTGTGTGATGTCGAACGAGTTTTCCCAGAATTCATTTATTTTATTTAGAAGTATACATTTACTGCTCTTTATATCATTTCGGCAGCTATGCCATATGTTTCTTACCGCTTTGTTACTTTCTATTCCCTTTAGGCTTCGTTCGAGATCTCCCAATGTCAGGAGAGTGTCATTTTCACTCGTTTTATTATTGCGATGTACATCACAGTTTACCTTTTCAAGTAGTTTCTGATAATGATTTCCTAATGTCACTACATCGATTACTTGTTTTACTCCTCCACATTAACAGCTTCTATTTCTGACAGTCTCTAGAATAATTTTTGTTCCTTAAATTCATTATGATTATCTTGCTGTTGGAAAAGCGTTTCAAGCTTTCCCATTTTGTGATCAGTGTATTAATCTTTTGCCTTCCATATCATTTTAATGATCTCATTTCCTATCTTGACATCAATTTCAATGTCCAAGTTTGATCTTCGATAATTTCCAGATTTTCTTTGACGACAGTTTATTACAAGGGAGATCATAACGTGTAATGCACATCAAAACACAAAATTTTTTAGATTGTTATATATATTTTTAGTGTTGGAGAATAATGTCATTACGTTGTCATAACTCAAATGATATATTACAATTCTGGGACGATATCTGTTATTATTTGTATGATTGAGTGAGGAATGTTTTACAGTTCAAATACTGTTTTCACAGAAAGTCAAATATACTATTTCCCTACATTGATACATCTGCTATGATTATCGAAATAAACAATTATATTTACCAACGGTATTTCTATCACAAAAAATTAAGTTGACTTTAGACATTGTCTTGACAATAAATTTTTTATTCGTTGTCTGATGAAAAAGACTTCACAATTTATGGTATCTGTGAGCAGTTACCATGGGATTTGTTTTAGGGATTCAAGACAATGATTTACATTCCATTTGAGAAACGTGCTTGTTGTCTGAATAAGAGAAAAACAGGAGAACAATAAACGATAGTTAGAAATGGCCATGTTGACAGATTTACTGCTTAAAGACAAATTTTACCATCAGCATTGACGGATCGACTTACATCGATCCGTTTCATGAAGTTGAGTGTCAAAAGGAATGAACGAGGTGATTTAAATAGAATAATTAATGAAAATCAACCAATCAGTCTATAAATACTGAACAGCAGCAATCGAATAATAATAGACGATCGAATTGACTGTTCTAATTTTTCTTTCCAAGTCTAATTGAACTAGGCCCAAAAATTCTCACTGCGTTCATCGTATTAGTTGAAATTATTATTCAATGTAAGAATAAAAGTTAAAACAATTATATGACACTGATCTTTTCATATATCTTAAGATGATATTTACTCAAAGTTTGAATAAGGTCACTAAAATTTAGAAATATATTGACAGGAGTTGTCTGAAAGACCGTCAATTTTAATTAAGAAAATAGATCAGAGAGAAAAATGTGATCCACACAAAAATGATGTGATCCATTTTGGTTATAAGTACTCAAAAAAAAGAACAACATTCTACAAAAATGTCTCATTTCACTTACAACTACAACACATAGACAATGAACCTTTCTTACTTATTGTAAAGGCAGATGAAGTTACTACAAAAGTAATGAGACATTTTACGCTTAATAATATAACTACCCACATTTATGGCGATATCTGACTGTAGTTAACCTAGTATTTATGATGATATGATTTTAGTTAACTACTCAATTTACAAATGAGAATAAATTGGACATTTTTGTATAACATTTATATCAACATCATAGATACATAAATGAACAGGATATTTTTTTCATGGTCGCTTCGATGTCCCGTTGGTTCAGGGGAGATGGTCTATTTAAGAGCCCTTTACAACATCCAAACCACTTGTTACGCTGCTCCTAAAATTCGGTGATTAGTCTTCAGTTTTTATTCCCGACTGATAGCTCTGGTTTTTTGACCTTCTTAACAAGCCTTTTTTTCTTTTATCACATAGTTCTTCTCGGCAATTATCTCTTGAAAGCAGCTTTGCTGTATCTACCAGATATTTTTACTAATCAGTTCTAATTCTTTTCTTCACTCTTTTATTTACTTCAGTATATTCGGTCTGTACTTAGGGTTCCTCTGCTTTTGTTAGTGCTATTGACTGTCATGTTTTTCTTTCTTGAATCGAGGTCAGAATATCCACAGATGCATTCTTTATTCTGATACCATTTGGAATTCAAAATATCTTAATATATTGGAGTAATTGATACTTCAGTTCTCTTCGAGTTGTCTACCATACTTGTTTCTGTTTTTTAGTAGGTCCTGCGAAGTTAGGAAGTAGGTGGTGAGATAAATCTTGAACTCGCTCAGCTTATTACAATTTGCAAGGACGACAGTATTAAACCTTGTATTGTTGCATATCTAGTTGTTCAATGCTTCTTACCTTGATCACCAACATATTTTGAACTGAAAATATATCAACTCCTCCGTTCTTCCTATGTCTTCCCTAGACCTTCTGATTTTTATGTATCCAGATGTAATTAGTCTGGTTTCTATAGTGTGGCTAGGTGAAAAGCATTTAGCTCTGTATGTAAAGCTTCAGAAATAAATACTGAGCATTATGTCTCTGGAGACTTAAAGACTTGCTAATCTTCTCATCATTCTTGTTTCTTTCTACTTGATCATACAGTCTCACGATATGTTCATATCAATTTTTTTCAGTCTGGCTTTACAGTTTACGTTCTTCATTAACGTAGTCAGATTTTTTCTTGAATATTTTTAAAGGATGAATTCTGCAACCAAAATGTAAATTATATCCAACAAGTAACTACCGCTCAGTGAAAATGGAAATTATTTAAAGATTGATTTGTTGTGTTGACATAATGAAGTAAAGTTTTTTAAATAATTTTCAGATACTCTACAGTATTGCCTCACAAAGAACACACTTTCTAATAAACAAGATCCTATAAAATTATTTTATTGTTTATAATGATAATACATCAGTGAAACTGAAATTAATGAATTGCTAACAACTGACGTGGAATTTAGCTGGCTATGAAACATTTTATTGTTTATTTTCCGAGCTTACTATGATGATTAGGAGTATTTGAATTATAGTACGAACTAAGAATCCCAGAAATAACGTAATCGGATCAAGAAGTACTAGATAAGCACGAACGAATGTACTGTATTTGGAATTCAAAATCAAGCATTCAACAAGTACAAAGGAATCATTAGTTCATTCAAACACCACACATACTTGTACTCTAAAGTTAATCGTATTTATCTTGCATAAATGTTCTGATATATAGAGAATATCAGCGATTCATTTGTTCACAGTGTTTAAGTTGAATATTATGTTATCGCATAAATCTTATATATGATCAGATTGTTTACAGAAAATAGATATTCGTTTTTAGTGTTATGAAATTCATTCTATTCATTTACATCTTGTTTCATTCGTTCTTTTCTCATGTTCCAAGCATGATTAAAATGAAAGCGTTTTAAGAAACGACATGTAAATTAAATTACTCCAAATTATGAATACATAAATATATTCTCTTTGTAGTTTAGACGACTCCAATTGTACACATGTAACTTTGGGTTATTTTCAGTTAATCATAATGCATTGCTGGACGTGTAACAAGTAGTGAAGTTTGAATTGTCAGTTTACAAAGAATTCAATTTATTCGAATTCGAGTTTTTTTTAGATAATAAATTCAAACAATGTTCAAATTTTCAAAATCACTTATAATTAAATAGAGTGAATAAGATTACTTGTAGTGTCTAGCTCTATATCAAGCCCTCATGAGTTATTGAAGCTACCGGATAGAACAATTCATTCATTCTTCATGAGTCATAATTTGAATCTGTTGTTTATTCGTTTATAAACTTAATTGTTTTTCACTGGTTGAAATCATGAGTCAATTGAAGCTAGACCACCATGGAAAACCTGGAAGCACTGGATGGCCGTTTCCATGATGGTCTAGCTTCAATTTACTCATGATTTCAACCAGTGAATTTTTTAAAATCTCCACAAAACCCACCCTGATAACAATCATCTGCTCACTAGTGACTGACTCCAGGAGATACTCCTGGAGTTCTAGTAAGAAGCCGTTACCAGTGGAGTTCAACCGGTCTGTTGTGAGATAGGAACTCACTGAAGACAATGGTGTACGGTGGCGCAACTTCGTGGATTGGTTGAAGTTAGGCATTAACACCATTGGATTCCGGCCGGCTCAGTGGTCTAGTTTGTTAAGCGTCTGGCGCGAGACTGATAGGTCCTGGGTTCGAATCTCGCGGGGCGCGGGATCGCCGATGCGTACTTCTGAGGAGTCCCATACTAGGACGAAACGGCCGTCCAGTGCTTCCAGGTTTTCCATGATGAACTAGCCTCAATTGACTCATGACTTCAACTTGTGAAATTTCTAAAGTCTCCACAAAACCCATTCTGATACTAATTGTTTTTATTCAAGTGTGTGTTTATCTATTACCCTATTCATTATACATCTTTAGTTTATTTTCGTTTGGCTTAAAATATTGAGTCACGTGCTGTCAAATCCAGCTGGGAAACTTACATTCTCTAGTCTACTTCTTTAATCCGATTCTCTGACTGCTTTTCTAGATCAAGGAGTTTATGAAATATACGTATCTAAAATTAATTATCGTACTTGACTTATTCCGTTATTCTCGAATGTGAATTAGGTAGATCATTATATATGAGGATGTCATCAACGTCACTATACCATCAAACTAATCACATCAACGGGCCACTAGATATTCTGTCAAAATACAATAAAAATAAAAAGTTTGGACGCATGAAATAAATTTTCATATCGTTAAATCTGTTTAATTTTATGCTGGGCGTCCCATACATACACATTTTTATCGTCGTTCACGAAGCTCTGTGTTAAGGAGTAAGTAATTAATGTATTCGGCTTTCTAACTAACCTTCAAACGTTTTCCATAATGAAATTCATGAATAAACAAGAATCTGGTAATACAATAAAGTTCTATTTCAAGCGAAAGTATATGAAGTTAATAGTTAACTGGAGGACACTAGTTGACTGTACAATTTTGAAAAAATTGTAGAAAATATTCGAAAATAAATAACTTTGCGTAAATCTTATCAATCAAATCAAAATATAAATTTAATAAGAATGCTGAGTGGACAAGTATATTTTCAACACCATTAGACTTCTCTATTTAGATTTTAAGAGGTGACAGTTCACACTTCAGTAAACTTTATGATAAGTCTACTTTTATGGTATTGAAAAATAAGAAAATCTGAATTGTTTTTTATAAAGTAAATTAAATAGACTTTTCATTTTCTTTTTATCACATCATAACTTACATATTCAAAGTGCCCTAATTAAAAAGGAAGTATTTCAGAAGAAAAACAAAATTTGAGAAAGAAAAAAAAAGAGATAAACAATACAACACATGAAAGAGTAAAATGATTTTAGACAACAATCTGAACATATTAAACTATGCATAGTAACTATGTACAATAACAAAAAAAATATTGTGTATGTATTTATGATGTTGATATAAATTTTATACAAAAATGTACCAACTCATTCTTTCATTTGGATGATTTGAAAAATCATATGAACATTTAACCGTAAACTAAAACGAACAAAATAAAATGATTGTGATAAAGTTATTTCATCGGTCAAATTTCCACAACTAATCGACACACATAGAAACAGAAAAACATTCACTTACAAAATAAATTCAAAATTCTTTCTATGTTGCAATTATATATTAGGTGAACGGAGAAATAAACATAATAGATGTGTGTGTATGTATATGTGTGTAAGAAATGATAAACTCTATATAAAAGAAACAAAATAATCAAACTATTAAATATCATGAAAGACTGATGAACATTGTGAACACGTTTTTAATTCTTTTTTTATTATTATGTTTCTTTTAAAAAGAGAAAGTAAATTATTGTTAGACAATAGTTAATTGTTAATATCACATAAAAATGCCAAGTTTTTTTTTTGTTAATACAATGTGATCTATTACAGTGTGCATATTTTGTACAAAATCTTGTGTTCATCTGAGATAACTGTGTCATTTACATTTAAAAGATAGAAATAAAACAAACACAGATTCTTTATAATTTGACATTGATATTTATTATTTTATTTAGGAGAACTTGTGAAAGTGACAATATGTGAACTCATAATTGAAAGAATATAGAAATTGGTTTACAAAAATAAACAAATTTTAATTTATATTTTATTTACTTTGTGTATGCTCATGATTGTAGAATGAGTATAGTGTGTGTTAATTTTACATTGATGGAAAAAAGAAAAGGAAAATTGAGATTTTATTCCTTGTTATCAATTCATGTAAAGTCATCATTTGATTGAGAAGGAGCTATATTGATTGAACTATTGCGTTGTATCCAAATGTTTTCAACTGAATTCACATACATTATCTCTAATCTCATGAAACAATATTCGACTGATATAATAATGGTAGAAGACAATCACTGGAACCGGCTAATAATAGAAATGGATGTAGTAAAAGTTGAGCAGCTGTTGCTCTTCTGAACGGATCACGAACTAACATTAGTCCGAGAAATGAATTGAGTTTCCTAGATGACTGAAATAAAGAAGAGAACATTTTTTTTAAATGTCTACACATTAAGAAACCAAGAGAAAACTATCCATTAAAAACATTTTGGACAAAATGATGAGAGTTTCAGATAACTAATCAGCAAATCTGATGACAATTATTTTGTGATTGTTGTTGTGACTATATCGAAGATAACTGTTAATTTCTGAGGAATATATTCTTCGCAAGTCTTACTTACTTTTATTTGGTTGTACGCATATTTAAAGCATACATTGATAGTTTTTGTATGTAGGGGACTTCTATGACACAAGAACTGTCATTTGAAGTGCCGTTGTAATGCATAAATTGAAACAGAACTAACTTGTCTGATTATGCTACGTTAGACCAGTGTGCCTGCAAGTCTATGCTTATGTTGTAAAACATCAGGTTCGCAGTCAATCTTCTACATTTGAGACTTTAACCAGCTGATAAAATAACACGATTATGAACATTCTGCATTACGATTACATAAGAATATATATTATATATATTCGAGCAGCTATGAGTTGAATAGTTTGGTCTTAGATAATCTAGTGGTAATGGGCGAATTTCAGTGTTCCATAATTATAATCATGTTCATTTCTCAAATTAAATCTAATCTAAATGAATGTGAATTTTCACAATATCTTGTTAGCATCAATCCACATGCTTTGTGAATAATGATATTAATAAGCTTGAAATAAATGGTATAATGTTGAATATGTTCAAATATACATGCTAATTTTAGTCCTTTCCATCTACAGAGGTTATCAAAAAGAATAAACATTAAGCACATAACATATACAACCAACTGTATTCATTCCGTCGTTTTTCTCATAATGAGAGAATAGACTGATGAATGATTCAGTCTAGATCACCGCACTTATGAAATTATTTCAAGTAATGTTACATTAACGAAGTTTGAATGTGCTATCTTATAAACTGCTTGAACTTGAACACTACTCAAATAAGTAGAAAGTGATTGAGAGGAAGCAAATAAAAATGTAACTCGGTAATTAAATTGTATTTGTTAGTTCAAGTAATTTATCTACTAATTTAGTAAAATGTATAGATACATGAATTTGCTGAGTAAATCATGCCATCTATTGTCCAGATTCATTGGTTGACAGAAATCACTGATTAAATATGAAGTGAATGTATAAATGAATTGATATTCACAGTCTTGTTTTCTTCCTTACTGTAATCTGTATCAGTAGTTGTACTACAATGAAGTACCAAGTACAGATGTGTCCCTCAGTCACAATATGCATACAAGTATTTTATCACGATTTAACAAGAAGGCTTTTAAAACCTAGTTTTCAAGTGTTCATTTATTTTTTCACAATCTCTTGTATATATTATGAGATATATGTAATAAAAGAATAATTATAAAAAGGAGCATAATCATTTATGCAAGATGGATGGGGATGACTAAAGATGATACAAAATGGAAAGGCATGATTTGAGCATAAATTTGTCTCACAAATTCATTAGTAAAATCTATTGAACGTTTATAGATAGGTTGAGTTCAATAAATTCAATATAAGGATAGCATAATTTGATATTATTTGATATTACTTGAATGGTGTGCTTGTCGTTTGTAAAAGTTGGGATGTATTTCTCAACTTTTCAGCTAGTTAGTTATGATAGATTTGTTAGTTGACTATGTTGATTGTATAGGAATCACACATTACTTAAATACAATGTGAACTACTTTATATTCCAGATTAGCGGGCATGCTAAAATGTGAATTAATGTACTTCAACATATTGGTTGATAATCACCATCCCAAAATTTCCTTATTCCCTAATAGTTGTAATGGTGTTGGGTCCAGAATAAGCACTAATGTGACGTTCTAAATCTAAATAGTTGAGTAGAGAAGTAGTTCTTTTTTTATGCTTCTATGTGTTGCAAAAGATTTTGAAATTAAATAAAGTTCCATGACCCGAGCAAGTGAAGGGTAATATTATTTTGTTTTTTTTTCGTTCTTAAGTAAACTGGTCAATAATCAAATAGTAAGTAATAAAGAGATACAAACAAACAGTAATAGTTTCAAAATATGCACCGAAAGTCAAACATAAACCATTCATACTTTGTGAGGATACATTAAATGGGGAATAGCATCTCTTTGAATATTTCTCATTGCTCGTAATGGTGGTTCGTTAAAAAATGTTGGTTCGCCGTCAACCATTTCAATTAACAAGACACCCATTGACCATACATCAACAGATGTGCTATAAGGTAAGCGACTGATCACCTCAGGGGACATCCAATACGGCGTTCCTACAAGACTACGCCTTCGAGGATGATCAGGAGAGACCTTGATATAAATACAAAATAAACAGATACTTAGACGTCGGTCATAGTTATTTACCGGTATCAGTTAAACATAAACATGGGAAAAATTGCAAACACTGTATAAATATAACAATACGGTATTTCTTACAGTTGTAAAAGATTGGGTGACATCTAAGATGTGTTTTATTGAATTAAAACCAGTCAACTGGGGCGCAACATTTTGTTTTACACAAAAACATGGTTCAAAACGTTTATTCATAAATATTAGAAAACTTCTGCTCACCCTACTTCATTCGTCTGGTATAACAACGAAAGATTAGTTGAAGTGGACTAAGTAAATTTTTCCGTAATACATAAATAATTGGATTGCTAAGGAAGGTCACATTAGGACGAAATAACAGTCCATTATTTTTTGGCTCTCAATGGTTTTCTAGTAAAGATTAGTTCATGATTTAACCTATGAACATTTTACAACTGCTTCATTGCCTAATAAAATACAACGATTCTAAATTGTCAATACAGCAGTGAAATAGAAACGACATTGTTTTTTCGCATGATATATTACACCTATTCGAGATTTAACTGTTGGATGAATGAATACTTATGATTTTATTCTACGATAGTGTTACAATTTGGTTGCCATCAGAAAGTGTTTACACAAAATCGGGTTAGTCAATTGATACATTCTTTTGATCGTTTATTAAAACTTGAACTCTACATTCACAAACCAACCTACGTAGTGGCTGGAGGTAACTGACTGGATATCCTGGACCTATGTTTCTTGCTATTTGGTAATCGTTAGCGAGTTTAACCTGAAATCTGTAGGGAAATTATGCTCCATTGGGTATTTGATCCTGCGTAACCCAGCTCCAAAGTCAGAGACGATACAACTGAGTTGTTTGGGCCGCTACTGACCTTATGTAGGATTAATTTGTAAAGACAATACAAATTAGTTATAATTGAAAGATTTTGATAATAGTTTTAATTTTTGGATAGCTCATGTAAAATAATAAAAACACTTGTTAATTTCAGCATAAATATAAAAATGAGATATGATATGGTCACATAAAGGTCAAAGACTTGTTGTTCACGATAAGAAGCGGATGATAATATTGAAATCCATTGGAGTAAAAAGAAAACGTTTTCCAACATTATAAAATAAACATCTAAATTGTGCATTTGAAAGTTACATGAAAACAACATATTTACATACTTTTATATTATAACTTACTCTTGCACAAAATCCAAAGTCTGAAAGCTTTACACGTCCATTGATTGACAATAAAATAGAATCGGATTTGATATCTCTATGAATGATACCATGGTCGTGCAGAAACGCCAATGCTCGAAGTACATCACGACAGATGGTGGCTATTTGTTTCTCTGACATTCTACAATACATCCAATGTTAATCACCAAAAAATCATTTTCATTCTAAAAATTAATCTATTATGCTTTCATGATTTAAATCCGATTATAGTGAAGGAGAACAGAAGTAGGGTCAATCGAATGCACTCAAATTACAGAACATTTTTGTAAAATCTGAGAACCATACAATGAATACTTAATTTGCAAAATATCAATCAATTGTCTCAGAATTGCCTGTTCCTTTTGCAAATATCAGTCAATCCTCTCGAACTTCAATGTTCCTGTATTTCCATATCAATTGTTTTGTGTTCCCGTTCTTTCCTTTTCGATCTTCTTGAGCTTCTGCTGCCATAAATTCTATTCCTGACAAGCGTTATATACTACTTATGTCGATATACGTAGCACACACTACAATATGACCTATTTAGTTAACCTATAGTGATTTCTAGATTTCTTAAGTCATAAGTTTAAGGGAAAGTACATAAAAATATACTTCAAAATTATTTAGCTAAATGTCTCATTCATAAGGAGAAATCAATTTCAGATTTTCATAATGTATTTTAGTAAAGTTAACAGAATAGAAAATCAAGGATGAACAACAGTAGTTGCAGAATACGATGAGTTAGTTATATTTCGCTGATTTTTTTTAATGACATGCAAGCTAATATTTTCAATTATTTCTAGTCACTTACATAACCGTATTTTGCAAATATTGTGATTCTCAGTTTGTTTGAGTTTGTGAAAGAAACCAACTGTATGAAATCTGATACAGCCAAACTATTGAATAAACTAGTATTCATCTCCAGTCAGCATATATGAAATCTTCAAGAAACTAATGCGTTCCACAAAATTCGAAATTGTGCCACTCAGTACCACAATCAGAGATTCACTCCTTTGAGCATCTAGATATAAATACTTTGAGGAAGATCGTTACCCTTAACAGTGTTTAATCAACGTACTGAGAGGTGCCAATAAGTATAAAAACTAGGTTCAGAGCTTCGTTCGAACTGCCTCTAATCGCATAACATTCAATAAAATGGATCTTGTAACTCTCAGTCACAATTTGACCAATACAATTTAGTCACCACTGAAGGCCAAGTAAAATACCATTCTTTACTAACTAGTAAACGATTAAAGGAAGTCATTTCAATATTTGTGCCAAAACTATTATAGAGAAGAATTTTTGTACAACAATCCGTCGGACACTTTACAGTAAACTACATTTACAAACGATGTTATACTGTTAAATAAGGTTCCAAGACAATATCAGAATGAATGAAGTCCTTCATCTAGTTAGGATTTATTTGAACACTATAAACTAAACACGTCAGTCAAATAGTAATGTAGGAGTACTTGGTTTTCATTAATTTGTTTTCAAACATTATGATAAGATTATGTATTGAAAACTTTTAAACATCATCTGAAAAATTGATGATTAAAGTGATTACTTTGAATATCGCATAGTGTTGTTAATTTACTGAAATCACATAGCATTTTGTGTGATAATTCCTCATGTTAACTCTGGAAGACAGAGGTGTATCTAAGAAAACAAGTAATACTAAGTGAAATGACAAAAATGTTTGAAAAAAAAACGAATACAAATTCATGACTCACAATGTTCGTGTAACAATATTGGTTAGTGCACCACCTTCTAAATATTCCATGGCTACCCATAATTCATTACCAATTAAATAGGACCCAAACATTTCAACAATATTTGGATGCGGGTAACTCTGCATAATAATTACCTTTTAAAATAAAAAATAGTATTATGTAAATATTTGTAAAGATCTTTGAAAATATAATTTATGTCATACATCGACCAAATTTACACTTGTATTAAAACCAATATTAGAACAATTAGTAAATATTTGATGACTGACAACACTTGCCAAGTGAAACATTAAAAATTATTCGTTATTGGACTAGAGGAGAGTCGCATACTAAGGCAACACAGTTCAGTACTTCCATGCTATGTGTAGCTAGAATTAGTGCATTGTTTAAACTACATTATTATCATTCCTTTTATTGTCAGGATAATGTTTTGTAGTTTTTTTCAGGATATTTATTTCAATAACAATTACATGCAAATGGTTGTTTCAACAGAAAATGTTTTTAATGAATGTATTAGCAGTATGGTTGTATTTTATATTTTATTCAAATAATTCATGTATATAATTATTTCCTTACAATCTCCTAATAACTCCGCATATAGGGCTTCTAGGGCAACTGCCGAATAAAACCACGGGTAATGGAGGAGGGTTGGGTATGGAGTCGGCAACCCATCCCGTAGAAAACAACCGTGCTAAAGAACACTAGTCAGATTAAACAAATTAAACTATTTAAACTCTGTCCTCCGAGTTCAAGAAAGAATTATGACGCCACATGATGAAAGCCAAGTCACGAGACCGATTCTTTATCTAGCCACCAGAGTAACAATTTTTATAGGTACATGGAACGTCTGGACAATGTGGGAGACCGGAAAAACCAGTCAAATAGCAACAGAAATGAGAAGATAAAACTTGGCAGTACTGGGTATCAGTGAAACCCATTGTACTTAGGCGGAACAGCAAAGTTAGATACGGGAGTTGCTCTGATGCTGTCCAAAGAAGTACGTAATGTACTTATGGGATGAGAATCTCAGGGATCCAGGATCATGAAAATATCCTTCTTGTTAGAAATCGTTTATCTACTGATACACTTTAATGGGATTTCAACAACCAAGTGAATTAGGTTACCGTTAAAAGCGAATTCTGGGGTATATGTTTACAAAATGACTCCAATTACAGTCCTAAACATCAATGCAAAGATTCATACAAACATTACAAAATAAATTTAAACTTTACCCCATCACACTGGCTAGTGATTATCCAGACTTAATAACTAAGTGGATAACGCGATGGCGTTTGAAACGAACAGGTTCAAGTTCCGGAATAAACATCAACTTATAGATACAAGTACATCCAGCTGACGAGTCTCAAATGGGACGAAACGTGTGTTCCTTATTCTACTGATCCTCGGCATTCATCTTTGCTAATAATTTTCAATAATATACAATAAGTTTTATTTCATTTTTTTCTCATTACTATCAATTTCATTTCCTCTTATGCATATACATATATACTTAAATAAATTATTAGTTTGAAAACAATTCTTTTTCATTAACATAAATTAACTTATATCATTTTATAAAAAGTTGTTTATTCATATGTATGTGTATATGTGTGAGGTTTTATCATTTGCCTAGTTAAAAATAAATTTTATAATCAAAGAAATGTTTTAAACTAATGCTAGGTTTGAAGCTATCACGAGTTCACTTAATGTGCAAACGAGAACAAGACTCGGTGACCAAAGACCAGTAAGCTAGCTATTGGTGCGTCCCAGCCCCACTAACTAGAAGTAGAAGTATATTCTGCAAAAGAGCCAGAAACGAGCGATAACAACAAACACAATTCAAAACGTATACATACAGTGCAAAACCGTCTTTGGGAAGAGCTACCAAATAGCATACTAAAAGACGCAACGACCCAATAGCATTTAAGATATTTCCCCGTGGGAAATACAACATGAAGGTGACAAGAGCGCCTTTGGCACAAAAACAAAGAAATTCAAATTTTCTAAATAAAATTAAAAAATTAGGTCCTTTCCCAAGTGAGTTCTGGGGATCTAACGTCCCCAACAATTAATACTCGAATAATAATACAAAAAACTATCATTGAAATAATTCATATAAATAGTTCAAGTATTTTATTATTCCCAAGATTAATTACAATTAAATCGAATCAATTAAAGTAATTAAAAGTAGAAAAATACAAAAGTTAGAATAAAATAACTTCAAATCAAATCGGGTTTTTTTCTGATCAGAAACTGTCTAGAATTAGTCCAATAAACTTAACTATATCTATATAGATTGCCTATTTTATATTATGATAGATTGAATCCTCATGACCACTTCATGATAGAATGATCTGTCTATATTGTTAGATATTGAATCCATTATGTCATAATATTAGGTATTTACAGGGGGATTAACAGGAAATTTTGAACATAGTGCTGATAAGAATCGGTCAGTAAGGTGTATCTGGGATCTTGATGGAATATGGTGGTTTCTGCTCAACTAAGGCCACTGTGATCTAATAGTACAGTAGGAGAGACATTAGCCCTTAAATGCTCTGGTACGGCCGAGAGAGAGGAGAGACCATTGCCAGAGAAGTCCTTTTCACTGCCTCCTCGTGGCGACGATGTTGTTTACGGAATTGAGATGATGAAAGACAAATGTCCAGCGCTTTAACCGGGTTGATAGATACGAAGGATCCACATAAGGGAGATGGGAAACCCTAATTCCAAACCAACGGTGTACACGGGCTCCTTACGTTACTCCACTTCCTTGTCGATTGGACCTTTAGGTCAAAGGCTCGAGGTGTGGCTTCGGTTTGGGCACCAGGGCAGTATCCCAACCCTTACATAAATCATTCGATTTGTGTGACGAATATCTGTTTGATGCCTCCTTGTACCAATGCTTATGTGTTTAAATAAATAAATAAAGACAGACATTACTACCCAGCTATTAAGTTGTTTAGATAACAGACATGACTGTTAATATGATCCTTTGACAATAATTTTTATCTACTAGAAACAAGTCATTAAGTACGTCAAAATGTGTGTTCTATTATTTCCACCTTTATTAATATAGATATTCATTTATTTTATAATTTAATTCAATAGTCCATACTCGATACCGTTTATTCTGTTAATTTTGATGAATATAATATACAGTGTCTATATTAATTGTAAATAACTATTACCATTGATATATGGCTAAAAAGAAACCATGAAATAAGTTAATTCATCTTAGTCTGTCAGGTGTTGTTTTACTATTGTTTTACATAATAATATTTTTATTATTGATCCATTATGTAGCACACTGCTAGTAAGTAATACCCGATATAATATTACTAAGATGAACAAAATCTTTGAGACAATAACACCAATTATGAAAGCCATGTAGCTAAAAGCTTGGTGTATTTTCATTGTGTATTGTTTGATTTGTACACAATCAAAATAGGTCATTATAAAAAATCAAATATCTCATAGACATTGGTATGTTGAAAGGTATTCTTAAATATCGTAATGACAAAAACTGATTGACTTTAATTTAATTATTACACAATAAGTTAAATCAACTTTTTTCAAATTCGGAATATTTAATTTATAACAAGAATACGTTTCTCAGTAACTCAAATAGAAACTCATTGTGTAGTCCCATAAAAACAATTTTAAGTAGAATTTATTTTATTTATTGAGTATCATATTATGATAAAAGAGAGACAATTGATTGCAATATGGATTGTTAACAGAATACCAGGAATCCAAAACAGACCAATAATTATCAGAATCAAAGTAACAGACTGGTATGGATTTAGCATGATATCTCGAACTTTATTGGTCACGATATTACATGATGTTACTTTAAAAAGTAAGTAGTGTATTGATATGGACACTTACGTCTGAACCTAGCAATTATCCATTTTTGTTTTCAAAGTAAAGACTTTATTTCCTGAACGTACAAGATCGGAGTGGTTTAGTATTGACTATGAACCCATCTAATGCTTTCACAAAGGATAATTCCAGTGAGTTTATTTTAAAGAAATTTGTGATAATAAAAGAAATGTGTAGCGAAGTTACAACTGTCTACATGATACTTCATTTAGACTCCTGTATGTCTTACTTTTCTGTGCACTCCAAGGATTCTTGAAATGAAACAAGATACAGTTTGCAAATAAGTTAATATATTTGTAATATCCTAATGAGTAGAAAAATAAGACCTGACGTTTTGTTACCAAGTGTAAGCCACGTCTTCAGAGAACACATAACCAAATCAAAATTAATCCAAACTTAGATATTTATAGCAATCTACTCAATGCTCAATTATTCGACATTTCCAAGTCAGGCATGCAACGGCGTCCACAGAACAGAACCTTTCGCCTCCTAGTTAGTAGCAACACCAAATGTAGTAAACAAGAACACAAGTGAGGACAATCGAATGTTTTGGACACAAAATTATACAGCATTTCACTAAAATCTGAGAACCACATAGTGAATAGTTAATTTGCAAAATATCAATCCATCGACTCAAACTTGACTCTCCTTTCGCAAATATCAGTTAATTGTCTCCTATTTCATTGTTCATGCATTTTCATACCAATAGCGTTCCGTTTCCGTTCTTTCCTCATCGATCTTCTGCTGAAATACATCCTATGCCTGACCACCTTTATATACTACCTATGTGGATATAAGTAACCCACAACACAATACTACTTTGTTATCAAAACATGGTTGCTGTTTAATGACAATTACTTAATACTCTTGAAATTAATTTTTCAGTGAATTGATTGTGCTCTTATCCATTCCAAATTATTCACTCACCTTCAAACAAAACTATTCTATTCGGTTAGTAAAAGTGTCACTAGAAAAATTCACTAGAATTCCGTTAAGTCTGGTATGCGAAAAAAAACGTTTAACACAAATATTACTTAACTACTCATTATCAGAAGTAGTAAAGCTGTAAACATAAGACTGTTATTTTAACATGTAAATAAACATAATAATTTTCAATCAAAAATGAATTATTAATAAAATGTAGTAATAACAATTATTATAACACTAAGGGTTTATAAACATTTACTTCATTAAAAAGTAATTCACGCCTTTGTTGTTTAAATATATTCATTTTTTGACAGCAACATATTGTTTAGTAGGTGAATGACGCATTAAATAAACTACACCAGTACTGCCTTTACCGATTCGACATATTTCATGTAAATCAGCTCTTGGATCACCTGGTGTTACAATTTTTGCAAGTTCATTACGAAACTATATAATTAAATAAGAAATAAGAAGATAAATAAATTATTTTAATTTGTATAGATCAATTTTATAGAAATGATAATACTATCATATGTCTAAATAAGCAGCTATTATAAATAATATACCTGGAATATTTTTGTTCATGTAATACTTTATTATAACATATTAAGATATCTTAAGATATTAAACTAGATCGTCTAATCTTAGCTTACTAAAACCGATAAATTCGAAAATTAAGAACAGTGAACTCAATCAATTGTCGGTGACGATCCGTTGATTCGTCATATTAAAACATTTTGTATTTATGTAATTTATTATCGACATTTTGATAGTTTAGACTCTAAAAACCCAGGTAGTAGTAAACAGTTGTAAATATGAAAATAAATAAAATATCATAAAATTACAAATGGGAATTCAGTAGCTCGAAAACCTAAATTTATATAATATTGAATTGACTCAATTGAGTAATAAAATTTCGTTTTGATAGTAAGAAATCTTGCAAAACTTTCAAACATTGTAAAACAACATATTTCTCTCAATGTACCTACAAAACATTAACCCATCTACAAGTATTATTTCATACATTGATTAAAAATTAGAGAATACTGTCTGGTGTGGGAACAGCTAATAGCATCACACATAAATACCATTAGGTGTTATTCATCAATCAATCAGTTAATCAAACACAATGTGAAACCTATAACATAAGTATATCGGTCCACGTTATCATACCCTTTTATCACAACTAGTTGAAATTGAATAGAAATGACAAAATATAGATATTGTTTTCAAAATTTTAATACATTTTCGGAAGTCTTAATGGATAAATTTAACACAGCCTAGTTCTCTCATCAAAATTGCAATTCGATTTTACAGTAACCATAGACTGATTATTATTAATATGTCAATTTAGAAGAATTTATCAGCTGAAATATGTACTATTCTTATTGCTAATACTATACTAATGAATAACTTTCATTAATTATTATTACTGGTATTGTTGATTACTGAAATGTAATATGTTAAACTAATGTGTTATTTCTAAAAAAACGTTTCTTGCAAACAAAACAAACTCACCAGTAGAATAGTTGAAAATTGTAAATTACAAAGTTAATGTTTTTCCTTAGCCTGAGATTCTACAATAATGTATATTTACAATCCAACCTGATACTGAAAATTGAGACTTTTTATATCCTGAATTAATCACAAAGTATGAACAAACTACTGCGCTGAAATTCATTAGGAACACATATCTTTCAACTGTCATTATTATGAAATATACCTCAATCTAGTTATTTGTTTCTAATGGGTTGTTATCTTAATTTCTAATCAGTTCATCTTTAGATTATAAGATTCGTTTTTATAAATGTTTGGTATAAATTTAAGTGATTTAACTTAATGCAGAATATATCATACTACAACAAATTTAATACATAAAATAATTTACTACTTGTTCATGTTTTCTCCAAATAATCTTTTAAGCAATAAAAGAATTATTCAGCATAAACCGATTAAATACAAACAATGAAGGGTTTTGAGAAACCTCACGAAAATAATTAACCATTAATTGAGTATTATCAGAAAAGGGTTTTTATGGATATTATAGTAATTTAATAGTTGCGTTCATGAGTCAATTGAAGCTAGATCACCATGGAAAACATGGAAGCACTGAACGTCCGTTTTGTTCTGCTGTGGGACTCCTCAGCAGTGTGCTTCCAAGATCCCGCCATGTGGGATTGGAACCTAGGGTCTATCGATTTCGTGCGCGAACGGTTAACCTTTAGACCACTGAGCCGGCATCCAACGGTATATTTCAAAATCTTTTTACTAATTTTTTCTTGCGAATAACAAGTACAATTCATAATTAACTGGCTGACGTGTTAATCTTATTTCATATTTCTTAAGAAAAACAAAATAACTCATTTTTCGTATTGGTTATTGTTATCTTCCCATTGATGTTTAGGACTTCAATTGATCAGTCTCTTAATGGTTTATGTACGTCCTGTGTGAATTGCCTCGATATTGTCTGAACTTATAAGTATTATAAGCAGATTGATGATGGCTAGCAGTAAGATCTTGGACGCGCGTTTTGTCCTATTTGAGGCTCATCAGCTGGATGTATATGCACAGGACGCACATACATCAATGAGAGATTGATCAGCTGCAGTCCTAAACATCAATGGGAAGGTTCAAATAACCAGCATAAAACGAATTAAAACTTTACACCATTGCACTAACTAGTGGTTATCTGAACTCAGTAGCTAAGTGGATAACGCGATGTTATTTGAAGCGAATGGTACTGGGTTCAAGTCCCAGAATTAGGGTCGTGTTTGGTATGTAGGTTCCTCCAGCAGACGAGTCTCAAATGGGATGAAACATTTCCACTTCCTACTGCTAGCCACCGTCCATCTCTGCTTATGATATTTTGTTTTGTGCTATTTTAATGGAACAGTCAAACCACCATAGAAGTGTTACATTAATAAAATTACAAAATCATATTAAAAAACAGCATTTAATTTCCTAATATCATTAGAAGCTTCTTCATAAATCAACGAAAGAAATCAGTTGAGTGACCAAACGAAAATGTTTCAGTGAAGAAAAGTATCCTTCAGATGGTTTATAAGTCTGTCATATAAACAGAGAACTTTCTTTTCTCTATAATTAATATTAGTAAAATTTTGATATTAACCGTTTTATTATTAAAGACATATGAAATTTACTTAATTGTTAGATGAAGTCATGACTTGATACCTCGTACATCATAAGGATTCATTGATGAAACCATGAAATAACCATGTCATTTTATGAAACCGTTGATTTTTACAGAATTCTGGCATAATAATCTGGGTGTATTGTTGGCTTCATCTCACCTCAAAATTTCATTCTAATCTTTAAGGTCCTTGGGCTCGATACATTGAATAAAAATAGCGCTTTAATCTTTACTGAGTCGGTATTAATTCACTAATTTAGTGCTCTTTGAATATCATGGATGCAAGCGCGATCTTTATTATTGTGTTATAGTTGCCATTTATACACTCAGATAACTGGTCATCAACTAATAAATAACTGGTAATCATAGTATGGTGTATGCTGCTTATGTTGATAGATATAAGAAATATTTAGTACCAACTGGAAGTGGAATGCATGCGGGTAGAGGATTGAAATGAAGAGAAGATAGATAGAAAAATAAGTATTCAAAATAACAAAAGGAATGAAGTAACAATGAAGTTTGTAAGAGACCACTAATGGAAGATGTGCAAATGATGTGTTTAATGGGTGGTTTTCACATTTTATGAAGACACTTTGTAATTTCGCAATAAATGATAAATTTATCTTTTCCACCTGAGTTCTTCGTGCACTACAATAATATCTTGACTTATTATTTAGTGTATAAATATCAAATTCAGTTAGATAATATAATAATACAGTTAGCGAATGACTTAGCATTCTGGAATGTATTCATTACGGATTTAGGGGTTAATTCCGTGTGTAATTTATCAGTTTGGATAATTAATTCACTCGGGCATGTTCACAAATCAATTGTTTTTATCAGACCAATATTAAATTCAAGATGATGCTAACGATCTGTGATTCAGATAGAGTAGCTTAGAGGTTTAGCCTTCTCTGACCCAAATAATTAAATTGTAAATCTTTCATCATATTTCTGATCAATATCATCAGCATGTACTTTAGGATGAAGTGAGCATTAGGAATTTCTCCACAACTGACTAACGGCTTCTTCAATTAGCGTAAATTTTAATTTGTTTGAAATAATGAGATGATCTGATTTAGGCTACCATTGAAAACCTGGAAGAACTGGTCGGCCGTTTCTTCCTAATATAGGAAACTTTAGCAGTGTGCACCCACGATCCCGAACGCGTGAATCGAATCCAGTGCTAGTAAGGTTTTCAAAGGTGGTCAAAATTAGATCGGTTCATAAGTTCAATCAAATTTAACCGTTTCCATAAGCCCACGCTGAATTTTATTCTGTTATTGTTCATGTGTTTTCATTGTTTGCAGATTTATTTGAATTATCTTCTCTAGTCACCTGATTTCAGACATTGCAATTCGTTATTACCTTGTAAAGTGAATCTAATCCGAAATAGGTTAAACTATCTCATTAAAATCGGAGACAAATCTACTGTGCTCATAAAATGAATGATTAAATACTTATCAAAATCGTTTTCTTCATGACTAGGTTATAACATCAATAACTCAACTTGATTTATTTTTATTTTTATTCCTTTTTTTGGTTGTTGATTATACTGATAACCATGACAAGGGAACACATTAATTACTTAAATTAGAAATCATCGTAGTATTTATCAGGTGTGCATAAAAATGTATATTTCTATCAGTGTATTGTTGATTTTGTGACAATAATTAATCTAAATTGAAGACATTTCAGTTGTATTTTCTCTTGAGAAAAAAACAGAAACTACAACTGGTATCGATTTTCGATCATATTCATTCACATTTCATTGATTACGGAGATAGAAAAAGAGAATAATGCTTTATCACATTACATATTTATTTATTAAAGTAATTTTGTGAATATTTCTATGGAATTTCAGTAATCATTATTTTAATAAACCATTGAATGTCAAAGTGAATAAAATTATCTTCCTGTTCTAATTCAAGAATTCTGAGTAGTAAAGGTTCATGGAGAGCACGATGTACTAGACGAAAAGCCTGTTGCACTTTGAATAAACAAATACATAAAATATCGACCAACAAGCCCTCATACAATAAGTAAATGGTTTCCTGAAATGTCCCGAGTTCCTGGGTGCGGGTTCATGGAAGTCTATTGCTATCCGATTTACGATCCAGGTCTTGCTGAGATCAGTTCTGGATTTTAAACTATAAAAAGTTATTTTTCTATCATAATTTAAAGTTGGTTAGAGTTCTATTTAAGGAGTTGTATTTTGGATAAAGTATACTTCTTCACAGTTAGCTGTCAGTTAATAATTTTTGGTATTACGGCATCTCTGTAAATAATATACTAGGGAGGGAAAAAGATGGTATTTATTGCCAATTCTTATGGTATTACTACAACATGAGCTTAATATCACATCACTTATTCTTTCCGTATTGTTTTACAATAGTAATGGTCTACAGGAATGAAATCTAAGTTGATCGTTCGATCGACTTCTCTACAATGTCTCTATTTGTCATAATGATGATTCACTGATAATTGAAGGTTTCATTTGATGTTTAGAAACGAATGGTTTAGTAAATGTCAAAATACTGGATAGATGGAATTTCAAGAGTGCATGAAAATTTCTAAATGTTTAATATTATATGTGAACTGTCTAGCTTAGGGAACATGGTACCATTATTTAAAATTATAATTACATATTTGATTATTTCGAGAACTGGAGAAGATAAGTGCCCAAGTATATCATTACATCCCTAAATTAGACTGATATAGTAGTCTATGATTCTGAAACTTACAAACCATATATTAGAAACTGTTTTGCCATCAGGTCAGTACATTTCAACTCAAAGTTTTAAAAAGAACATGTATTAGCATAAATTTAATAGTTTAACTATTTTTACACGGAATATTAATAATAACATTCTTAGGATCAGGTGGTTATCGTCAACCGACATGAAGCTCAAACTAGTGTTGTGTGTTAGCTGGTATCTTTCAGTAGCACATTTCAGGAACCATTAGAAGACTAATACCTTCCATTTGGTTTGAAGGATAGTCAAATAATCAGGAAGGTTATCGTTAAGTTATATGTCTAATGACTGATATCTTGAGTATGTGAGATATTACAAATCACTGATCACTGATTGATCAACCTTAACTGTTATGAAATCTAGGATCAGCTTTTTATCTAAATCGCCTCAAGTTAACTTACATCATAAAATAGTACACTTTATGTTGTGATATTTAAACCAGAGATTTCACTAGAACTTAATCTTCAAAATGCAATCATTACTATTCACTTGATAAAACTGATATTGGTTACTAATATACGATCGATGAGTTGTACTTACTTTAAACATCTATTTCACTCGTTGTAAATAATTTTTAGTCGTACATTGTAGTGAACGGACATTTAAGTGAGAAAGACAAATTTATTGTTCAATGCAAAACTATATCTTCGTAAAGTATGAAAACCATACATTTAATAATTCATTTGCACTTCTTCCTTCAGTTATCTCTTACAAACTTCGTCGTTCCGTCATTCCTGTTGTTATTACAATTAATCTCTGTTGCATTCTCCTTTTTCGTCATTTCAATCTTCACAATCTTCTGCTGCCAGGTAATCCATTTCCGACTGGTGCTATATACGAATTAAATCTGTCAACATAACTAGTATATACCATACCTTCAGTAATAATAATATGCTAGAACACACCAATAATTTAACTCACCTCTTCAGCGTTTAATAAGCAGAATGTATTTTCATTAATTACAGTATTAATCATTTTGTTCGATTGAAATGGCTCAATAAACTGTTGATTTACGGTTGGATGTACAAGAAAATTTGATCGATTCAATGGATATTGTTTGGTTGGTGATAGAGCATTATTTCTCAATCGATGAATAGCTAATTTTGAATAACATGCTTTTGTATCAACTCCACCATCATTACTAAAATTATGATCGTTATTGATGACAATGTTATTATGATTGGTTTTATTGATAATCTCATTATTATTAGTTCCCTGCTTAAATGCTAATGGTGGAATTTGTGAATGTTTTGTTAGTAATGTACCTGTAAAACAATAATCATCATGTTCATTGTTAACTCTGTTGACAGTTAACTGTTGCGGATGAAACGTTAAAGCATTACTGGAGCTATTTGATCGTCGTAAAGCTTTTCTATTTGTACCAGGTAATATATCCACACATCCATAATCATTATTCAATAAATTATCTACATTCTCATTTCTGTCATGTTTAATATGATGAATAACACTATTATTATTTGTAGTATTGTTATTTTCAAAATATATTTGAATAGGATATTGTGATCTGGATTGATGTTCATTTAATCTCTCTCTGGTGTATGGATTAGATAATTGAATATCAGTAGGTGACTTTTTTATAGATACATTTGAAATTGGATATTTAATTTTAGATGATGTTCCTGACATATTGATATTTTGTGGTATACTATCCATTTGATTTGATAAAGTAGGAATTTTTGACTGTTTATCTAAATTCCATTGAGTATTCAAAAATAACGATTTATTAACAGTTTGAAAAATTTGATATTTTTCAATATGAATAAAGTATTACAGAAACCTCTACAAACAATGATACTTCAAAACATAACGAAATGTGATTTAGAAGAAATGGTTTTTTCGATAATTATTTTACTTCGTAGAAGGTATTCTTCACAAATCGATCTCAGCTGACATGTTACTGAATATCAGAGATCACTAGTGAGCCGTTATATCTTAGTATGGAATTCCTCGGCAGTGTTTACGCATAACTCCTCTAGAGGTCAAACCCAGTACTTGCGAGTTTGAAGGAGAATCATTGGGATGATGCCCAACAGTACATAGTTCTGTGTTCTTTTGAAAGATTAAACACTAGTTTTTGCTTGCATTTCAAATAACATCAATCCGCGATAAAAACATTTGACAAGATCCTATAATAAAACCAGGAAGTTTCCTAACATATGAACTAGAGATTTAGGTTAGTGAATTCTGAGAAATGAAGTAGAAGAAAGCTTGCTTTAGCCTGGAAAAATTTCCTATAACCTTTGAAATTTTGAAAAGCACATATTATATATATATATATATATATATATATATATATATATATATATATATATATATATATATATATATATATATATATATATATATATATATATATATATATATATATGAAATACTATTAATGATTAAACATGAACTCCTCGAGTGGTAAAAAGTGCAAGTGAGTAAATAAGTTCGAACTTACTTTTAACTTTTTCATTTCATTTAAATTTCTAGGGGTATTATAATATCCTGATTGTTTGTCCTCAAAATTAATATTTTCATGTGAATTAATTGTTTGATTTATAGAAATGTCATAAACTGAGTTTATGTTATCCGTTGAATTAACTCCAATAGAATTAAGATTATGACTGCTAAAGCCGGATGATGTATTAGAAGTTGTATCGTTACGTAGTTTATTACTATGTGTTTTATCGGATGTAGAACTTTTCATTGATTTTACGTCGAAATTTCGTTTATCATTACCATCCAATGCCTTGTGTTTTCTTACGCGACAATGTTTACGACGAGCGCAATAATGTGAAATAGTTTGATCGGAATTATTACGATTTGTATCATTGATTAAACTTATATCTTTACCGTATGAATGAGAATTACTGATAGACGAACTGTGATTAATTTGATTGACTTCCATTTGTGAAGATATTTTGTTTGAAATTATAGGATTATTTGAAGTGTACAACGGTGAAGTATGTTCCCTTGAATTGACAAGTGATAATTTTGATTGATTAGTAATCGTTTGATAAGCATCCGGCTGGTAATACTTTGTTCGTACACTCTAAAATGTTAGTAAATATATTGAGAGTCAGGAAATCAAGGAGACCCTTGATAATCATTATGACTCGTTCATTTAAATATGGTTACATGACTGTTAAGTGTAATTCCTTTCACTGTGGCTCACTGCTGTAAATAAATTATGTAGCGATTGCTTAGTGGTTAAGGCGTTGGAATTTCAGCCACTAAGTAACATGATTGAAACCCAGTATACCTACAGCGGTTTTCGCTGTCACGTAGTACCATAACCGCTCACGCTTAGAAAATAGTTAGAAGCTAAACACATGAATGTATAACTGGTAAATGAGTTAATAAGAAAGCATTTAGGTTATTAATTCGGTTTTAAAACATCAGTTAGTCAGCTACAACGTAGGGCCAGGCACATATGCATCTATCCAAGTTGCCATACTGCATTAGCACAACAAGATGAACACCGAATGCATAGTGGTCACTTCAATAGTAGTAATATATAAAAGAAAGATTGCATATAAGGATATAGTACAAAAAGAAGGAATTAGTTCATAGAAAGATATGAAGCGATTTCAATCTCATAGTTTAAGAGAAGACAGAAAATGTATACACCGACGCCATTGTGACCGTTCTGAGCCATGTCACCAAGAGTCTCCAACCATTGGCTACGATAATCAAGCGGACCCCAACCAAGTAGTCTGCATCTATCGACATGGCCCAGACTAGAAGTTAGTGACTTCAAGCATTGAAACCACGTTTTGGTTTGGCCGCCTCTAATTTTCTTCCAACTATCCCCAACACTAGACAGCATTGCGCGTCGTGATAATCGGTGTTCAGGCATACGTAACATGTGGCCCATTCATCTCAGTCGATGAAGATTCACAACCTCATCAACTGATTTACCATCATTCCCTAATACCCTACGTCTAACCTCACTATCACATACCCTGTGATCCTAACAGATGCCAGCAATATTTCTAAGGCATCTGTGGTCAAATGCTAGTAGCTTACGAGTTTCTTCTACTCTTAATGGTCACGTTTCGCAAACGTAAAGTAGAACAGAACGAACTACCGCGCAGTATACTCATCCCTTATTTGATTTCTCACCTTCACCATAGGTGACGTAGGTTGGTAAAAGCCGAACGAGCTTTCTGAATCCGTGCTGAGATTTCGTCAGACACCAACCCATCAGGGCTGATCAGACTTCCAAGGTAATTAAAGTTGTCGACGCGTTCCGAAACATCCTGGCATTGTTACTGATAGTTAGCAAAAAACTTGGCATGACCAAAGATTGTACACACATTGCTATAACGCCAGGTTTCTTCATCTACACGTATAAAAATAATAATAGACCATTCAATGTATTTTCAGAGAAGCAATATGCATCGATGCAGCGAACAAATAATGGGAGTGATTTTATCGTGCGGATAGATTGTGGTAGGTTATTCCAGAGTCTAGAAAATTTACAGGTGAAGTAATTCATATAAAGAGATGATTTAGAATGAGTTTGTTTCACTAGTGCCAAGGAATTACGGATGTCATAATGAGAGGTTTCTGCATATTGAATCGCGTGATCGGATGTAAACGATAGTTTATGAAGTAGTTTGAAGAAAAAGATAAGATTTAGTTTGAGTCTCCTCCTCCATAAAGGGTCTAGCCCAAGTTTATTACATCTAGAATTATAAGTTAAGGTACAATCAGCTCCAAGAATACGAAGTGTAAATCGTCTCTGTACTGATTCCAGCCTTAATTTATCCTTTATGAGCGCACTGCTAAGAATAAACGTGCAATATTCTAGAAGAGGTCGAGCACAAACTTTGTACATTAGAATACGTGACTCAGTGTTGTAAAGATTTCGAGTTATGTAACCTATTAGACGTTGAGACTTAGAGGTCTGTTTTAATATATGTTCTGTAAACGACAAGTCTTGGGAATATCTAAGTCCTAAGTCTACTACTGTATGTAACCTAGATAACACTTCTCCATTTATGGTAATGTCTAGGTTGAGTGATGTATCGCCGAAGCATATCCATCCACATTTAGCCGTATTAAGCTCCAGTTGCCATTTTAAGCACCACTGTGCTACCTTGTTAAGCTCCATGCTGATGCAATTTTGCATATTTTTCAGGTCATGTGGAGAAAATGAATATACTACTTTAAGATCATCTGCATATAGAAGGGGCTTACCGACACAAAAACTTTCACAAATATCATTGATAAACACTAAAAAGAGCAAAGGACCTAAGACACTACCTTGTATTACACCACTTCTAACAGGGACAGCGTTAGACAATGAAGAGTTAATTTTAACTATTTGATGTCGATTGCTGAGAAAGGAATCAAGCCAAGCAAGCAAAGGATTTTGAACCCCATAAGATGCGAGCTTACCTATAAGAAGTTGGTGGCTAACCATGTCAAAGGCTTTAGAAATGTCCAGATATAGCACTAAGACTAGATATCCTTGGCTACGTAGAGAATAGACTAAATTAAAGAAGTCAAAATGACATGTCATGCAAGAACGATTTTTAAGAAATCCATGTTGAGTATCATTGATAAATTTTCCAGCAAGTAAATAGTTGGAAAGTTCATCACTTATAATTTTTTCCATAATCCTAGAAATAACTGGAGTAATATTTATTGGCCGGTAATTGTTCATGTCAGTCTTATCTCCAGATTTGTAACGTGGTATGATGTACGCGGTTTTCCAACAGTAAGGGTAAGAACCGGTTTCCATAGAGAGAGTAAACAGCTTTAGAAGAAGAAGTGGAATATCTGGACCACCATATTTGTAGAGAAATGATGAAATCCCGTCTACTCCATGACCTTTCGAAAGCTTAAGGGTATTTATAGCCTTATTAATTTTCATGCATGTGAAGGAGATAGATTTTATTGAGTTGCTAGTCACGCACATAACTCTTGAAGCATAGCCACTTATGTTTCCTACACCATTCGCAAAAATACTACTGAAAAGGTCGGCCATGGTTTTAGAGTCGTATATAAAAGTGCTATTATGCTGGATGCACGGTATATCAACATTTCGAGTTGCTTTAGTGCGTTTATTGAAAAGGAGAGTTAAGTTTTGTACTTTCGAGTTAGTATTAAGTGCTAACAGCTCCTCATTAATGGCTTTTAACCTATGTTTCTCTTTAATTTGATTAAAAATTATTGTTATTTGTGCAACTGCTGTGAAGTCGTTTGACTTAAAATAACGATTCTGTAGGCGTTTTAGTTTATTACGATATTTAGCTGGTATATATAATTCGTAAGGTTTACTAAACCTGTACGTTTTAAGAGGTACACTGGAATCTAAACAAGAGTTAATGATCAGATAGAATTCGTCGATAGCATCCATGAGACTATTACATGAAAAAAAGTTATCCCAGTCTGAAAGTTTAATCAGTGAATGCAGGAGGTCCCAGTCAGCATGCTTATAGTCTCTATATTGACAGGTTTTTTGAATGGGTGGGTTATAAGAGGGATAGATAGGGAGAGCGCAAACTACTATCTTATGGTCACTGCTTTCAAATTCATCGTATACTTTTACAGATAGTGGGATAACATCTCTACTAAATATTAGATCGAGTATACTATCGCCTCTAGTTGGGGCACGAACCCACTGTGACCAGCAGTGCATGTTAATGGTTGCCGAGAACTCATCATTACATGACTGACAACTACCGGTACTCCAGTTGATCCCAGGATAATTGAAATCCCCAGTGATAACCTTAGCATTAAAGTTTAGAGAAGATGCATGTATGAATGCATTGATAATAAGATCATTCCCATTATTCGAACTATCAGGAGCTCTGTATATACATCCAAGGAGTAGACTATGATTCAGGGTGTTGACTGATATCCAGACTGATTCTGGTAAACTATTCAGGACACTATCTTCAACTTTATTAGTTGTTAGGGTATCCAAAGCATATATAATACAACCACCTCCTCGCTTAGTTTCTCTGTCGCAGCGATAGAGTCGATAGTTCTGGATATTTAATTCTGAATTAGATACTGCTTGAGAGCACCATGTTTCAGTGATAAGTATGAAAGAAGGTTTGGCTAGAAAAGCTAATGTTCTCAAGGCTGAAATTTTGTTCAGAAGTGAACGTGCATTGATAAGTAATAAGTTTAAAAAGGGAGTGTGGAGTGTAAAAAAACCGAGAGCTTCCCTATTGATGTTATGTATTTTGGATTTGCATAGACTGTGGTTTATTATGTTTGACTGATCGTATGGGCTATCGCTTGAACAAACTGTATTGCTAGTGGGACCAGGGATTTCTGAAGGCCAAAAAAATCATTATTTTGATAAAGTGGATTAATTTGTTGAACTTGACTAGGCGGACAGTTAAGACAGACACCTGCCAGTTGGGGTTGGGTTGATGGTGAGTAACCTAGTAATCCATCTTGCCCAATGGGGAAGTGTTGAGAATAGTTACGTCTTATAGGTATGTTATTTAAAACGTTTGAGGATAACCGTATAGGACGTTAATTTGCCTAAGACGAATATCTACACTAGATACCCTCCCAGTGTCTATTCTACAGGACATCAACACAAATCAAGAACACGTGACTAGCCTGACTAGAATATAAGTATATTTCCACACCAAAAAATGACAACAAATTTACCACAAATTTCCATTGGAAAAAGTTTGGCTTAAGATAACTCACCGTTTTTCCTAGCTCGCAGTTGATTTATATGCTAATAACTAGTGTATTTTCAACCACCACTCCATACGATACTTTCACACGTCTATTTTTTATACACCCAAATATCGATTTGGCTTTTCTAGACGGAAAGCATGTGCATAAACTAAGTCAACTGCTTTAAATTCTCGAATTCTCTGACAATTTCCTTTCTTATTCTTTTTTATTCCACTCGTTCCGTCTTTAAGGTTCAAAACATCAAAAAAACATCCTAATTGGTTATCCAAATATTGTTTCAGCTGGTGATTTTCTGTCTTGACAGTTTAGGCTAGGTGTAATTCTATAAGAAATCAGCAACTGCTGAAGAGTTTGTTTACGTTATCTTCTTCACCCAATCTTTAAGAGATATAGCTTAAGAATATGAATAAATCTTTCTGCTTTCCCATTTAACTGACGATGATACGGTAAGATTCTCATACAATCAATCCGTACTGATTGGCATTTGCACACGATAGCAGCTTTCTTATAATTAACTAAATGAATGACCGAATGACTACATAAAAGTAAAGGAATCCTATCAATTAATTTCTTTTTTTTTTCTTACATTACTAGATATCTCAGGATTGTGGTATACTGTCTTCTGATTAATTTCCTATAAAAAATTGACTATCACTTTTCAATTCTCCATATAATTATTAACAAACAGATATTTTGAAAAATAAACAATCATATTTCAACAACTAACTTTATAAATTTTTGGTGGTAATTGTGGTGTATTCATTAGAATTGGATGCGCAGAAACTGATCTAGTAAATATATCCTTACTAGTTTCCATGTCTAATGTTTCACTTTTCTCTAAAACTTTTGATTTCGATCGAGATTTATGCTTTTCAATATTTAATCGATTTAAAGAATAATCATGATAACTGATATTATTATTATTATTGATTATTGGAATTTGATCTAGTTCATGTTGTGATTTTTTATGAATTGGATTAATAACCCATTGATAATTATTTTCATTATCTTTAATATTTCGATGATTTTTTGTATGTGAATGTTTTGTTTTTATTGGTATTTGTGAATTAATTTGTTCATGAGAAGTACTCTGTAAAACAAGAAAAGAAAATTATATTGATTAAAGAGAATGAGTAGAATTTGAAAAAGAAACAAATATATATATAGCCTTAAAAAATCAGTATTCAATAAGAGAAAGTTATATAATGGCTAGAATCAAGTGTTATTGCATTCTATGAATAATGTTTTTGAAATTCATTTGGTATTGTTTACTTGAATCTTCTCATTGATGTTTAGGATTGCAAATGATTAGTCTCTTACTGACATGTGTGTATACTGTGCGTATTGTTTCGATATTGCGCGTCCTGTATTCCACTGCTAGCCATGATCCATCTTTGTTTATAACGCTAGTAAATTGAAGCGATATTGAGGTAATACACACGGTACACACATATGCCAATAAGAGACTAAACAACAATGGTAAGATTCAAGTAAACAGTACCATGTGAATTTAAAATTCACCACATTGCACAAACAAGTGGTTATTAGGATTCAGTAGCTAAGTGGATAACGAGATGACGTTTAAAGCGAGTTCCAGAGTGAAAATCAACTCTGAGATGCAGGTACATTCGGCAGACGAGTCCCAAATAAGATGAAATGCGCGTCCTGGATCCCACTGCTGGTCACTATTCATCTTTGCTTTTATTGTTATTGAAACCTGATTTTTCTAACAAATTATGTACTTGGTAGAATTTTTTCTAAGTGATAAGTTATTGCATTCTAAATTTTCAGTAAGTTTTCGGATAATTTCAAATTCAGTTTTATTATCACTCTTATTTGTGTTTTCAAAGCTGTTGAAGATTACCAACGACTAATTGGGTCGTTAGTATTAACTGATTTGTCACTTGTGGAGTTTTTCTAAAATATTTAATTTTGTATAAATGAAACTCCGATTATGTACATCGGAAACGAAACTGAAATAAAATCAATCATATTAGAATGGTCAATATTCTCGAACACATGTACCAATGTGACAAAATTCTCATTGAAACTATATTTCTGAGCAAATTGTCAAAACTCTTAGTTATAAGAACTTGTCAGATTTATCAGTTAAAAACAAGAATTATGTAAACTTAATTGAGATCATAAAAAAGTGTTGAAGGAATATAAAATGCATATTTGTCTAAATACGATATGTAGTTTATTTATATGTCAACTTTGCTAAATTTTGACCATTTAGTATCCATATCAAACAGGCTTTTTGGTCAAAGGTTAACGTGTCGGATGACCAACTGCCTACTACTGGTTCTCGGCCACACAGAACCTTGTATGTAGTGTGATTATTATTTTTAGTTAGAATTATTTGCTATAAGATCATATTCTGTGGTAAACTGAAGTTTCTAATAATACATCAATAAGTGAACTACACAGTTCAGAATGGCAATATACAAGATGGTATTTTGAATTATTTTCTAAACCAATAGCTAAACTTAGCATTTGATTGAAGGATTATATATATAATCATTTCAATGAGTTAATCCAACAAAGAACTTTATCACCAAACATAAAGTGTGGCTTAATAACAAAAATAGGTAACGAAGTCAATCAAATTACTTAGTTTCTGATACTTTCAAAAATGGATCTCGTTTCGGAAGAATTAAATTTGAATTTCGGTTTTAGTTTAGCTTTTACCGAACCGATCAATTATGTCATGATAAATGAAGTATAAGGAGAATTTCAAGCTTATAAAGAAAATTAAGTAAATTTTCTGCAAGTTAGGAAAAATGATGGTCAATTATCTCGTCTAATATATGTAGGAGTATTTTTGAGTTACCCATTGTAAATAATTGTATGAATGCTAAAAGCTTCCTGACACATTGTCATAGTGTGATATTTACATTTCTCTTATGAAAACAACCACACTTAGTTATCGTTCAGGCTTTATAATCTATAACCATAATAAATGAAAGTGTGTTTCCAACAGAAGCTGTTCTTTCCTTATGGTAGTGTGACTCAGGGCTGTTAGGCCTTTAATCATTTCAAATATCCGATATAAGTTTATATTCGGTTTTACATTTTAGAAAATAAAAAATATTTCTCTAAAATCTCAACTTATGTAAACAGTATTTCACTTCAAATGAATAAATAAATATTACACGTACAATTAAAACCTTGTCTAGTCATGCTTACAGATAATTCCATCTGAAATAAAATCAAGGAGTTAGACAAGATTACTTATATATATACACATTTACATTTCTATGTCGTTTGCCAAAGTTATCATTTACCTAAATAACACAAAACTGGGAAGAAATGTTTGTAAAATATGCATTCATGTCGAAAAAAATAAGACTAATTTTTTTTTTAAAAATGAAGGAAATGTCAATGAGTTAATCTAATTTTCAAGGTGTGTATTCGGCATGTTTAATAACTAAAGTTTTTTCTATATTATAACACTAGTTAAAATCTGTTTCCTGTTAGAACAAAAAATGTTCCTCAGTGTTACAACAACAACAACAAAAGAGACAAAAATATTTTCACTAATTTAGGTCACGTCCAATCATTTAGTAAAAGACCTGGTGTTATTCCTTTTCAGAACATTTTTGATAAAAGGTAAAGTGAAAAGTGAAATTTTCACTGACGATTTCTTATAAAATGAAATAATTTGTATACAAAATTCTCTAGTCATTTAATAGCAAGATAGGCAAATACTTTTGATGATATTATTAATAAAAATAATATACAATAAACCCCATTTATATGCTTAAATCAACTGAAGATACTAAATTTGTTTAGATGAATGAATTATATGATTACGTTTATCCCGTCTTATAGTTAATAATCATTATTTAAATTATTTTCACATAAGAACTCTAAAAACTCCAAGTATATTTTTTAAGCATAGATGGATGGTGGCTAGCAGTGGATTCAGAACGCACAATTCCGCCTATTTGAGACTCGTCAGCTGGATATACATGCATTATAGAGTTGATGTTCACTGTGGGACTCGTAACTTGTATTGTTTGAATCAAGCAAACAATGCAAAAAAAGTGAAATAAGTATAGGATAATCCTGATAACCTTTGTCTTCTCATTGCATTATCGAAATCAAGTATTTCTTGTTAAAATTATGTTTAAACTTGATTAATTTAGATTAATTAAGCAAGTGAACAGTGTAGTTATTAAGGATTAATATATATGTGCCAAGAAGTGCCTCTGGTTAACGAAAATAATCCAGTGAAAGCAGAAGAATGAAAAGCGATATATATATATATATATATATATATATATAATTGTTCATTCAATTTAATGTGGATTAAATGAGAAAACGACTTTTTAAGGTAAACATTTCCAAGAATTTATTTTGATAAACTTCGTATCAACATCTCTTCTGTTCAGTAGTTCACATTAAAGAGATTCAGTTTTTTATGTAATCCTCAATTAATTAAATGGATCCGTGATATACATCAGTACCAAAATAGATCAAAGCTATATAAACCACTTGATCATTTATCATCAAACACTGTGTTCAGAAGTACTAACCTTACACTTCAAATATGTTGAACTTTCGATATCTAAAAACTTATCCATAATGATAAGTCTACAGATTTCTGAGAACTTTCATAGAGTTTTTAATATATAGTAGGTGCAGCTTACATATAACATACACGAATGGTGATAGTCAACTTATAAAGAATAATATAAGCAATCTAGACTTCGTGAAAAAAACAAGACGTTCAACGCTTCTCTCTTAAAATAAATATGTATTCTTCTTGACAGAAAGAATACACCGCCACGATATGCTTTATGCCTATAGAATATCGTTTATTGCCATTTTAAACAAGAATTGTGGAATGAATCAATCACTTTCAACACTACTTTTAACATTTAAAACCATACTGAATGAGGTGTACACTATAGCAGTACCAGATAAGGTTTTGTACACACTTCTCAATATATTATTACAATTTTCATAAAGCACACCCATGAGGTTAAAAGAAGCAAATACAGTGGTTGGAAAATTTTCATTATTAAATAAACGAACCATAGGACATAAGTCAGTGTACAGTCGATCAAAATTACCGCTGGAGAGTTATTCTGTCAGAACTTATACACTATGATGATATGCAATGTTTTAAAAGCGGCTTATGTGAAACAAATGCCATGACAATTGTCACACGCAGTAACCAAATTATTTCTAAGACACTTACTACATATGGTTTTATCTTTAATGATGAAAACTTCAGTTAATCTATTGTTCTACATACAGAAAAAGCACGCACAATGTTGAACCGGTGACAACCTAGAATGAAAACTGGTCAATATAGATAAATTGTTCAAATTTCATTGAAGCCTAGTGTTTACGGAAAAAGTAACTTTAAAGTAAAACGGACAGTTTTTCACCCTTTGTATGATATTTTTAAGTAAAACCAGTGACAGATGATTTTTTTCTTGATTTTTAAATACGTAGAACAGTTTATAAGAAATACCAGCATTATAATTATGTATTATAATTTGTACATAACTAGGCGTTGTCTTTATAGTCGGTTTGAATTGAAAGACCCATTTCTTCAATGTAAATCAATGAATATGGATTAAATTATTCCTATTATTGTCTGCCAGTATATAAAAAGTGGTTACTTTGTTTATTTTTACTATGGTAGTATGATTCTTTTATGTTTTTCTTTCGATAATATCTAAGTGATTATCATATTTGAGTGATCTGGAAAGAAAACTGGGCTGGATAACGTTTCATACCATTTTCAAATAAATAACGAATGAGTTAGCCAATGATACAGAAACGATTATTAATTAAAAGAAATTTATCTAAAAGAAATTCATATATTTCACTTATGGGTTTGTTTATAGGATAAGTAGACAAATTTTCTGGTGGTAAAAATATGAGTTCTAGGAAGTAAAGTAGAACAAAACATATGAGAACTAGAAAAAGTGAAAAAAGATCAATTAACGGATTACACTTAGTAATTAAAGTATAAGAGAACAGGCTGTGAACAGTTTAATAGTACAGACCAAACAAATGAAGAATTAATGAAATTTAATTACTACGGACTCATATCAATGATCATGGATA